AGAAACTAAACTGCAGTGACTGTGCTCCTCTAATCTGATGCGGGTTTTATTGAGGACATTAAATCCAATTATGATTCTGGACAAAACGTTCGTCAGACATTCAAAAGTGAGATAGACCCAACATATGGCATATGGCACGTAGCTCGCTCACTGGACTGAAAGCTGGCAGCTTGGCGAGTAGTGGGTTCGAATCTCACTTCTGACAGGCACAGCATGAGATGCTGGGGTTAGCATAGTTGGCATGAAACCCAACATAAGGTGCTGTATGGGTCTGAAGCTTTTCAGCAGTGCCAAGCTAGGGGTAAGTTGAATTTTTTATTTATTTATTTATTTATTTTTTAATTATTAATTTTTTAAAATTATTACAGGACTCATTCCAGCAATATAAATAAGAAGGACTCATTCCAACAGAGCTAAATGTCAAAATCATGATTGTTACCTAACATTGTAATCCCTTTATGTGGAATAGATTTATTAAAAATGATTAAATATATGTCTGAAAGTAAAAATACTAAAATTAAAGATAAAAGATTTTTTTTAGACCAGTGTTAATATTACTTAATGCACTTGTGTGAGAGGTCAGACATAATGGACATTTAAAGCTGTTTAATGCTGAGAGTCCATTCTAGAGCAATGCCGGTATTTTCTGGGTGAAAATCCCTTACTTCGCCAGTAGGGGGAGTAGAGAGCAATCAGCTCTCCTCCTCTTGATTTATTAAATGCACTTCGGTTACAGAGCTTGGCTGTGAACCAGTTGCTCACGATTTTTTTTAGCTAGAAATCCTTGTTTAATAGTTGTTTTAATTTAATACGTTCTCTTAATAAAACATAACATTTTACATTAAAGCTTACGTTTGTCGAAAATGTCCATGTTTTATAAAGTCAATAGATTGTTTTTTAACCATGCTAGCTAATTGAATAGTTCACGGGACTGTAGTTATGTAGGACAAAGCCAGGCTATGCTCTGTTCATATGATTTGAGGACTAGCAGAATAAGGACAAGAGTTTGTAAAAGTAATGTAAAAAAAAAGACTCATGTTTTGTACTTGAGTGTGTTGCTGAATGCGAAGCATGAGACAAAGGTAACAAAGATATTTGAATTAGCGTTCTTTGATGTTTTTGGACTGGTTTTTGGGCTAATCCTTTTTAATGCAACACGTATAGAAAGCAGACAAAAGGCACATTTGTACTTGTTTATTGCTTTATTTCATTTATTAAATGCTCATTGCAAGAGAGCTTGTGTGTGAAGGCACTGTTCATGAATCTCCTTTTTTAGGGCATTTACCCTTGCTATGCATGTGTGTGTCTCTACAAGGTGGGAGTGCTTTTTTCACTCGCAGCTTAACCAGCAAGCCGACTGGCTTGTTTTATTAAAGGGCAGGACTTTCTCCGCAAATCGCCATGTTGAGCTCATTCATTTTCCAACCAGTAAACTGTCTCCCTGTCCTGTATAATAATTCTGTCAGTACAAAACTACCTTAGCGCAAATGGTTGAGAGGAAGTTAGCATGATGGAGGTAGTTGGCAACCTAGTAGCTAACAAAATAAGTTTCATGCAACACTCGACAACTTTTGCTGTGGAAAATAAATTCACAAGGCAAACAAGGGCCTAAAGCAAATTCACATAAAAGCTTTGCCTAGATGCTTATGATTTCTCTTCACAATGAATGAACATGTGGACCTTGAGGCAGTGTCAACAGTTGAGAAAGAGTGTGGCCTGCTGTAGGGATCTTCGAAATTTACGTTTGTCATTTAGAGACAACTGGGGAAATATATTTTAGTGTTTATCATTATTTAGTATGTGTACTTCTGAAACGCCCCCTCCACACACGTATTTTGTCTTTATTTTTTTGGGGGGCAATGGTAGGGGTTAAAGTCTTCATTTGAGTGAGACCCCCTCCCCCTAGTGGCCCCATAATTTGCATCCTGCTCTCTTGCAGAACATCTTTTGAGTCCTTAATTGGCTGTAATGCACATGACTCGCATTTGTAGAGTAATGGTATAAGGGAGTTTTAATTCCATGTTCTGAACTGATTCACATGCTTTATGTACATGGAAAGTGGTTTCCTAGTGGTTAATAGCATATCTGTGTACTAAACCTTAGACTACACTTTGGCTTTCAGTTCTTTTGGATGTATTTTGCATATCTCGTCACCCAAACCAGCAGTAGGAGCAAGAATCTTACTATAGAAATAATAGGCTTTATCTCCATCTAGTGGTAACTTTTTGCTGTCGCTGAAGTTTTATTTCATTTCAGGAAACATCCTTGTGTTATTTTGCATTTTTCCCCTTAAAAAAGGGTATATATATATATATATATACTCCTCAGATGTTCTATTTAGTTTATATATGTATGAACACTGCCAAGACAAAGATATTTTAATCTTTCTTAGCCAATAAAACAAATTCTGATTTGAACATGACAAACATATCAATCAATCAATCAACCTTTATTTAATCTCGGAGAACATTGCGGGTGACCCTCATTTACAATGCTGCGGAGTTGATACAGAACAAGAGATTGATAATGTGTAAGAACATCAAATTTTAAAAGTAAATTTAATGAGTATAAAGTAAGTATAAAAAAAGGAACATTAATAATTAAAATACATAAAAATACAATACAAAATCTAAAGCAATAATTAAAACAGCTAAAATGAAATCAAATCAAAGTAAAATAAAAGCAGAATAAGATAAACAAAAAGTATATTAAATATTAAAATGACTAAAATAAAATAATCATAATTAAAATAAGAATATGAATAATAAATAAACAAACAAATAAATAATAAAATAATGAAAATAATATAATAATGCTAAAAATCAGGTAAAACAGTTGCAGGCAGAGTGGAGGTGGTTAGAGAGTTTAAAATGACTGAGTTTAAAAGTTTAAAAGCTGAGCTTTAGTGTTTCCTGTAGTGAGTTCCAGCTCGCTGGTGCACTGTAACTAAAAGCAGATTTTCCCAGTTCAGTAAAAACCCTTGATACCTCACATGTGATCCAACCACTGGAGCAAGTCTGATAAATACAGACATTATTTACAGACATCACTGAAGTAATATATTCTGGCATATGGCCGGAGAGTGTTTTATAAATAAAAATAAACCAATGTGTTTCCTGCTGTGTTGCTAGTGAGGGCCAACCAACTTTTTCATACAGTCTGCAGTGATGAGTGTTATAAGGGTCTCCAGTAATGAACCTCAGTGCAGAGTGATAGACTGAGTCCAGTGGTTTGAGGGAACTGGCAGATACATGTTTGTAAATTACATCACCATAATTTATGACAGATAGTAAGGTTGCCTCCGACTTGGAGTCATATCCATTTGGAGTCATATAATATGTAAGGTTAAATAGGCACAGTCTTCAGTTTCTAACAGTAATACGGGCTTCTTTGTACAAATTAAAAAGAAGCAACAACAACAGTTGCATTAGAACTACCATATAAAGATGAAAGTAGCATGCTGCTGAAGTCTTATTGCTTGGATAAAGGTCCAAATCCAGGATGTGGCCTGAACTTCTGAAAGATCTGAAAGAAAACTGCCCACACAAAGATGATGGGGAACCTAATATTTACAATTCTTTGTCATTAACTCAAAATAAAATTATTAGAAATATGTAAAGGGTTAAAAAATTGCTAATATTAAAATCAGTGACCTATACATGGCACAAAGTATAGACTTGCATTATGGGATATTTCCATAGCCGGAAGCATCAGCTCCTCTGATGTAACATACTGGCCATCATCCAGCTTAAATGCATACGGATCAATCCAAACAGCTTTGGAGCTCAGCTGCTGATATAATACTGTGAATGGCCTGCAAATGGCAAAGATGTTCATTCTCAGCATTCCTTTCAAAGGTCATCTCTCGTCTGGACAGACTGCTCAGCAGAGCAGAAACTGACATTAAATGCTTCTCTAGACAGATTTCAGTCTAGAGGATTTGAGCCTAATGCAGTTGTGTCTCAGCCTTCGAAAAAGTCAGCACGTCCATAAATGGCTGCGTATATATTCAACATATTAGTGATTACATAAGATCCTCATAGAGCAGGAGTGATGAACTTTCCAAAGCTTGAGTGCTGCAGTGTACGTGATATGAAATTGTCAAGTAAGAAAGCAAAATAGCTAATGGAACACACATCATCATCGTCATCATCATCATCAGATCAGGAGCTTTCCAGATTGTTTTAGTGCGCACAACATTAAACTATAGTCTATTGAGAAAGCAAAATAGTAGAGAATGACTTGTTATGGCACATCATCATCATCATCATCATCATCATCATCATCACCACTTTTCACAAACATACAAAAGAACTTTTGGCTGTTTAGTGAAGAATGCTTTAGTGTTTTAGTGCACACAATATGAAACAAGAAATAATTTCTAATGAGAAACTGAAATTGGTGAGAATTGTCAGGGTGCATAAATTATGGCACCCTCTATATCATCATCATTATCATCATTATCAGAACAGAGTGCTCATTTATAAAAATTATTGCCAACTAAGAAATAAAAATAGCTGAGAATTATCAGTCTGTTAATCATGGCACTGATGACATCATCATCAACACCATCATCATCACCATCATCATTACCATCATCGTTATCATCATCATCACCATTGTCATCACCACCACCACCATCATCATTACCATTATCATCATCACCATCATTATCACCATTACCATCATCAACGTTATCATTATAACCATCATCATCACCACCATCATTTTTATCATAATCATCATCATTATTATGATCACCATCATCATCATTATCATTTTCATTATTACCATTACCATCATCATCACTGTCATCAACGTTATCATCATCACCATTATCATTGTCATCATCATCATCATCACCGTCAATTTTATCACCATCATCATCATCATCATCACTTCTTTTTAAAAAAATCTCTTTTGGCTCAGTTCCAGTGACAGGATGCAGGCTGGTAAGTAGTCGAGTGTGCTGTGAAGTGGCTCGTGCCGTGTGTGTGTGTGTGTGTGTCTGGCTGATGCGCTTCATTCAAAGCCACAACACGCGGACTCTCCATTTCTCTCCTCGTTTGCAGATGAAACTTCGGACACGGCGCTGATCGCGGGAAGGTGAGTGAGCGTCTGTGCAGCGTTAGCGCTCAGAGCACTGAAGCTTTTTTACAACGATTTCTTTATTCTGTTTAAACGAAACTCATAAAAACAGGTGCATCGCTCGTCAGTCAAAATCAAACTACTTCGCAGTTCGAACTGACACAGAGTTCAGAGTATGTTTAGCTCAGTCTCTCTTTAGCTTAAATACGTGTAGCCGGACCACCTACTGTCTGTCAGACTGTAGCATAAATCATGTACAGTTATTACATGAATACTTGATCGTGAATATCAGCTCGTTGGAGAGGATCAGTCTCCTGCGCTGAGCTTTAACTCACGTGTTGAAATCCTTGTCGAGCGTCTTTATGATCTACAAAGCGGTTTGTTGAACGTGTATTAGCGAAACTTTATCAGACGTTTACAGTCACATCATAGTGAGTTCACGTCATGATGAATCTGAGCAGCGCTGTGATGAACTGAGTGAGACTCGCTCAGAGACTCTGATTAACACTGAACCTTCCTGCTGGGCAGATGCGAGATGTCCGCTCTCAGCCTCAGACAACAGCCACATTCACTCAGTGTGTGGAAGCGAGCTGTAGATGTGTGTGGGGTAGCAGCGTGTTGGCGTCATTCTCTTGTTCAGTCAGAAGTCCTTTATAGTAAACACTGTGGGCCTTGAGCATGTCTCTCTCAGAGTGGGAGTTGTCCAGTTCAGAAGGTCCAGTCCAGTGTTGTTGGTATGGCTGCCTGGTGGTGTGACCTGTAGTGTGTGTTTCAGTTCTACAGTGAAAGAATTACATCACCACGGGCCAGTGCAGTCAGCCCTGTGAACACATGGGGAGCTGGAGCCATTCAATACCACTGGAGCTTCTGAATTATTGATTAGCAGACTAAATCATTTTGGGCCTCCTGATCTCATTTAAATCTCTCTCTCTCTCTCTCTCTCAACTTAGTTCAGTTAAGTAGTGCTTTATTGGCATGTATGTAATAAGATACACTATTACCAAAGCAATTAATAAGAAACAGAAACATAAACAGAATGATATTATAGATTACAGTAGAACCCTAGAAATTAAGTTATTTACAGCATTATTAGTAATCAATAGAGGAAAAAGAAAATAAGAGTCAAGAGTAAATTCCAAATATGCAATAATCACAAAGAATCAATAATAGTCACTGGTTTTCTCTCAGGTTGTGACGAGCTGTCACAGATCTTGCTGTGTGTATGATCAGCCCACTCTTCGCTCCTGACATGTTCGGGAGTTTCTCAGTGTTCCTGCAGAGCTGAGATGCTGCTTACTTTCTTATAGAATGGATTCCTAATGGAATCCTACTTCAGGCGATCTGATAGGAAGTGCAGCTCCGTCTCCACCACTGACAGAGCTCAGTGACCAACTCTGTCTGCGCCGGCCAGTTTCAATGGCCAGACTGTGTTTGCTGAGTCTGTAGTTTTTAATCATTGTCAGGTAGGTTGCTGATGTGTAATCAGCCAAATAACACTGAAGTCTGTGTTGCTGTTGTGTAGTTTCAGTCCCGTGAGTGATGTAATTGGTTGGTTATAATTTGGTTGCGTCTGATTTTCTGAGCCTGTGGCGAGGCTGTTTAGTGTGAGTGATGTTGGGTTTTAGGTCACTGAGACTCAGGACCAGCTGGCTTGGGGAACTCCTATTCAGCTCCTGACTGGCCAGTGCTTTATAGTGGAGGGTCATTAAACTTCTGGAATATAAAATCTAGAGCTTTTTTTTGAGTATTTAATGAAAGTGGATATTGTCCTAGTTCAGCCCTGCAGGTAGACTTCAGTGTCTTTTTACCCACATGGAGTATATTTTGTCCAGGGTGTGTGTGTGCAGGGTTTCAACTGGATGTTTGTACCAGTTTGTAAAACCATGTACACCTCTCATACATTTCATCTCTCTTTCTGTCTCTCTGTCCCCCTTTCTACCACTTCTCTTTACATTTGCAGGATTATTCATTAAAAGACAGATAAAAGGGTCTTCTAGTAGACTAAATCATTTTGGGCCTCCTGATCTCATTTAAATCTTTCTCTCTCTGTCTCTCTCTCTCTGTCTCTCTCTGTCTCTCTCTCTCTCTCTCTCTCTCCCTATCTCTACAACTTCTCTTCGCATTTGGGGATTATTCATTAATAGACAGATAAAAGGGTCTTCTAACCTTTGCCATCAAACAGAGCTGTGGTACGTAGGGTGCAAATGTCAACAACAAATCAGAAATGGATAAAAAAAAAAGCACACCCACGCATTATCATATAAATGATGATCTGAAATGCCAGCTCTTCTGCTGTAATTTCTGTGTGAGGCTTGTTAGCTATAATGGTCAACATGTTGATGATGTTATGTGAGCCAGCTGTGTCTCAATCTGGGGACTATATGTATTTTTATATTATACACATACATGTATACTATATACTTCACCATCTACTGCCTCATTCTGTACAGTAGGATAATTTCAGTCATTTTGCATCAAATGGAAATGACGCTTTCCGGCTGTACCTCATGTCACTCAGTCATGGCTAAATGTACACCATACAAACCAGTGTTAAAGGAGACCTATTTTAGTCCCTTTAAACCAATAAGACCTTAATTCAGTCTTTGGAGTTTTTTACTCCTTTCATTTATTCTACTATGTCATGAACAGGTCAATTTCTAAGTGTTGTTATATATTAAAGGGGAATTCCACTGACTGTTCAAAATTTCTGCATAATTCAGTGTTCGAGGTACAAACAAAATCATTCAGAGTGGTTTGATGTGAAATGGTTCTTTGTAGAGAAACTTACCAACTCATATTTCTTTACAGTGGTGGTGATGGGAAGCAGGGCTCAAAATGTGTACAATACAAATATAGCCATTTTATTTACTATCTAAAACCACCAATGAACCTACTCATATCTTCTGAGTTTTTATGTGAAATGTTGATTATGGTAAAATAGTGGTCAATCTGAAAAATTTTCTTTGGGGACTGTTTAGCCTTAGAACACCCTTCTTAAACATCCTAGAACATCTACAATATCCTTCCACAACAAGTAGATTAAAATAAACTGATTAAAATATGTTTTAGACCAAATTTTATCAAAACACTACTGTAAAACAATGTCTCAAACATCTGCCAATGCATTCATAACCATTTCATATACAACCCCTTTTCCAAAAAAGTTGGGATGCTGTGCAAAATGTAATAAAAACAAAATGGAATGATGTGCAAATCAATAAACCCTATATTTAATTGAATATAGTACAAAGACAACATATCAAATGTTGGACCTGAGATTTTGGTTCATTTTTGAAAAATATATGCCCATTTTTAATTTCATGCCAGCAACACGTTTAAAAATTTGGGATGGGGGCATGTTTACACCGGTGTTGCATCTTTTCTTTAACAACACTCTGTAAGCATTTGGGAACTGAGGAGACAAACTGCCGTAGTTTAGAAAATGAAAGGCTTTCTCACTCTTTTCATTTCATAATGCACTAAATGTTTTCAATGGGTGACAGACCTGGACTGCAAGCAGGCCAAATTAGCACATGGACTACAGAGCCATGCTGTTGTAATATGTGCAGAATGTGGTTTGGCATTGTCTTGCTGAAATAAGCAAGGCCTTTCCCAAAAAAGACATCATCTGGATGGCAGCTTATGTAGCTCCAAAACCTGTAGATATTGTTTAGCATTAATAGTGCCTTCACAGATGTGCACTAATGCACCCTCATACCATCATGCATGCTGGCTTTTGAACTGTGTGCTGATAACAAGCCAAATGGTCCCAAATGGTCCCTCTTTTCTTTTAGCCAGGAGGACGCAGTATCCATGATTTCCAAAAAGAGTTTTGATTTGTTAAACCACAGGACACTTCTCCACTTCACCTCAGTGCATCTTTGCATGGTAGAGTTCTGACTTGCATTTGTGGATGCAGTGATGAACTGTGTTCACAGACACTGGTTTTTGGAAGTGTTCCTGAGCGCATACAGTGATTTCCACTACTGAATTATGTCTGTTTTTAAAGCAATGTTGCTTGAGGGCCTGAAGATCACAGCTAGCCAGTATTGCTTTTTGGCCTTGTTCTTTGCATACAGATATTCCTCTGGATTCTCTGAATCTTTAAATGCTGTTATGTACCATTGATCATCTTTACTTCCGGAAGACTCAGCCTCTCTGGGATGCTCTTTTTATACCCAATAGTGTTACTGACCTGTTGCCTACTATCCAAATCAGTTGTGGGATGTTCCACCAGATGTTCTTTTTTAGCATTACACAACTTTACCTGTCTTTTGTGGCCCCGTCTCAACTTTTTTGAAACTCGCTGGAATCAAATTAAAAATGGCCGTATATTTAAAAAAACAATACATTTCTCAGTTTTATCTGATGTGTTTGTACTATTTTTAATTAGATATAGGCTTTAAATGATTTGCACATCATTGCATTCTGTTTTTATTTACATTTTGCACATTGTCCCAACTTTATTGGAAACAGGGTTGTAATAACTTTCTGTGAGGGAGCTTTTAGAGGTGGACATCTGGTTCCCATGACCACTGCTGTGAACATTTCTGAATCAAGGTTTCTCTCGATTTAAGATTTTCACACCAAACAACTCTGAATAAATTTATTGACATGTTAACCATTTAATAAAGAAACTGCTGTTATTGGTTGTCTCAGTATTGGGTTAGAGTAGGGGGTGCGGCCATTCAGCAGTAGTGGAGAGCTCAACTATGGTTGCTGCAGAACACAGTATAGAGAGACCATACTTTTAACTTTTAAAGTCTGTTTATGCTAAAAGACAAGACGCAGTCACTGAGCATGTTCCAGCCAAACATTGGTGGAAGAGAACTTCAAACTGCATCAGGAATAGTGAACAACGGTTCACTTCACTTCACAGAAAGCTGAGGAAAGTTTATGCATCAGTCACTGTATATCACTTGAAGATATGTGTTTGATTGTGATGCTGTAGGACCTTCCGAATGAAGGTATTTATCAACTTCCTTTAACCAACATCCTGTCAAGAGTGTAGGGAACATAACAGTGCTGCTTAGAGACCCTGTGGAGTGGAATGCTGCTACTTTTTGCAGCTAAAATTGGCTAGGACACTATGGATGCACATGAAAAAATGTTGTTTTTTAAGCATAATTATGCACTATTTAATTTTGTGCACTAAGATTTATCTGTGTTGTAAACGTTGTCTGTGTTGTCCTCTTTGCTGTTATTGCTGTAGTTCTCACTTGCTACCAAAATGGGAAACGGCTCAGTCAAACTGAATCCCTTCATACACGTCAACGGCTCGGCCAAATCCAAGGTCAATGCAGAGTCCAACGGTGGTTCTCAGATTCTTAGGATGAAGGTGGAGGAGCTGGAGTCCCAGCTGAAGAAGAAGGATGAAGAATTGAATGCCCAGCAACTCCAGATCAAACAGCTGGAGGAGCAGCTGGCCCAGCAGAACCAAACCATTGCTGACATCTCAGACGCTTTAAGGAACAAATGTCTCCAGCTCAGCAAGCTTCAGGAAGCATTGAAAAATCAGGGAGATTTGGAGCTCTTGTCTTCGCCCACAAAGGCCAAGTTCAGTCAGCGACTTAGCGGCCTGTTGCGAGAGACCCTCAACAAGAGAAAAGGAGCTAAAGCTGGGGTTTCTGCAGAACCTTCCTCCAGGACATATGACTCAAGCAGCATGCCCAAGTTCTACTTCGAGAGTGCAAGAGTCTGGAAAGAGCCAAGGTTAGAAGTCTGGTGAAATATCTTAATGTCTAAAAAATGTCTGTTTTTGTATGCTACACTGCAATGTCATGTTTAGGCTGTTTAAGTAAAATTCCACTGACTTCTCAAAATGTCTGAATAATTCAACAAAATCATTCATAGCTATTTGATGTGAAATCATGCATCATGTAAATACATTGGCCGGCCACTCCTTGTATCTACACTCTTTGTCCATTTTATCAGGTTCATTTATAAAATAGGAGCACTATATTCAGACTGTTATCCATCCAGCTGCCCTTAGGATGCTGTTGGCTGGATGTTTTTGGTTAGTGGACTATTCTCAGTCCAGCAGTGACACAGGGGTGTTTAAAACTCCAGCAGCACTGCCGTGTCTGATCCACTCGTACCAGCGTAACACACACTAACACACCACCACCACATTATTGTCACTGCAGTGCTGAGAATGATCCACCTCCCAAATAGTACCTGCTCTGTGACTATTGAAGAACAGGGTGAAAGGCCGGTCAGTGTACTTATCGACTCAGATTTCTTTAAAGTAGAGGTGATAGGAACCAAGGGCTGCGATGTCTACAAAACAAATATATTAATCTTATTTATTATCCAAAACCACCAGTGAACATACATATATATTTAGTATATAATGTACCTCTTTGCCATTACTAGATTTAAAAAACAAACACGGTTAGGCCAAAACCTTACCTCAAAACCATCATAAAACACTACTTCTGGCATCAGGCAACATTTCATGTAATAACTTTCTGTGAGGACATATTAAGCACTTTAATTGCCTGATTCCTGTCAGCACCACTGTGAAATATTCTGAGGTAACACTTTATTTTGAGGATCTACTGTAGATGCTCACTCTGTCTTTACATTCAACTAAATGCCTATTAAGTTCAGTGTAGCTTTTCCTTAAACCTAAATATAGACTCGAACCCTAACCTTAACCTCAGTCCCATATCTAGCCCTAACTCTGACACTAGTTCTGTTCCTAACCCAAAGTTTTTACCAGGTAGTTTGATAGTATATCTACAACTTTTCATATGTAGATAACCTATATGGGGCAATCAAAATAAAATGAATATGACTGAAAAAAAATTTCCCACTGACTGCTTGTAAATCAAGTGCTTGTAAATCAAGCACTAGGTCTGTTATCTTCTTTTATACATTCTTAATTAGGATGTGCCATTCACATGGTAATCTCCACAGGGACCATGTTGTGGAAGCTCTCATTATAGCAGGTCACTTTTGTTGGCCAATGTTCGGCCTATGAGACACCATTAGGAGATTCATTACCTATTCTCTGAGCTGTTATAGACAATTGAACAACTGGTCCACTTGAAAACAAAAAAAAGAGCCTGAAGAACTGTCTAATTGGTCTTGAATAATTTGAAAATAAAACAACCACCAAAAAATTCACCACCCAAAGGGCAATAATTTGCCAGCTGTCTTAATTTAACCCCAAGAACCAGACTGAGAATAATACAACATAATTTCAGGTTTGTATAGCTCTGATCATTTATTTCAGTAGCAAACCGTGACTATTAGGGCTAGGCTGGCAGTTTGTTACTAAAAAATGGTAAAAAAAACATTCTATGTTTAATTTGAAGCTGGGCATATTGACATATTTTACATGGTTTGTTGCAGTTTTACAGTGACTCTTTCAGCAAAGAGGCCCGGCATAGAGCGGCTGCCGCTGTTTTCCATTTCTAACAACTTACTAAAATGCATCTGTCAGGCTACTGCTCCTATTTTAGGCCTTTCAGGAAGCCTAGAGTGGTATTTTTCTTACCCAGTTGGCCCCACCCATTGCAATTCAAAACGACTTCAATCCAGCTCTCGAAGGCCTAACCAATAGCAGAGCTCGCTTGGCTGTTTAGTGGCAGGAACATGCCTGAAACTCTCCTCCATCCAATCTAACACCCTGTAAATTCACATCCTTACCTTCCATTTTCCATGACAAAATTCTCACAGTCCCCATCTCCTCCCTGTTCCTCAGTCCTATGACAGTCCCACAACAGTTACAAGTGGGGGTCTGGCCTTCTAGCTACAGGTAGAAGCCACCCGGACCTCCAGTCCAAGTTCTCAGTGTTCTCTTCCCTCCCTCAATCTGTCTTCCCTCATACTACCACCACATGTTGAAGGCACCATTTGAACTCGCAAACTAGATAATATGGAGAAAAAAATCCAAATTCGATCATTTTCTTTTGGGCAGTTCAAGAATGTAAGCATTTTATTTCCAACCAAAGCATAATGAATAGTAGTACTACAATACTTGCGGAGTTCAAGTACAGCTAATGATTTCTGTGAAGAAAATGTTATCTTCACAGAAATCAGTAGGCTTTCTCTGAAGACCAAGAAGTCTCTGAAGGTTCCTCACTGTTTTTATTGAGTGCATTCGCTAATGAGACCTCAAACTCATTGCGACAAATTGAGTATTATGTTCACATTTTACAAGATATTACTATTTGCAGTGCATGATGTAAAGCCTAGATCTAGTCTTTAATCATGAAGAATGTGTGATCTGACAGTGTGAAGAAGCTCCTAACGGATGCCTTGAATAAGAATCGGTATCTGAAGAGGCTGGAAGGACAGCAGCTCAAAGACATGGTGGAGTGCATGTATGAGCGAACCTACCAGCAGGGAGAGTTTGTCATCAAGCAAGGCGAGCCAGGGAACCACCTTTTTGTGCTGGCTGGTAAGAATAAACTAATTTTCTGTGAAATGGTTTAGGTATTATAATAGTTTTCATTGCTAGCTTAAAGGACAAGTTTGCCAGAAGTCAAAATTTGTTTTCCACTTACCCCAGATCTATCAGCTGATGTATCAACAATCAGCCAAGAGGTTTGGTGTCCAAATTTAAAATTTTATTTTTCTTTAATTTTAGACAGGAGCTATGAGGCTAATGCAGCTAATAAGTAATGGAAGCTTATAGCCTTGTGCAAACAGCATGTCTAAATCATCACACACTTGCCTCCAACCACATGAAGTTGTTAAGTAATCTCAAAAAGACTTTCTTAAGTAGTTTCAGACCCAATATGACAAAAGCTGGCTTTCACAGAAACATAAACAAGTCTGTGAGGCGTTTAGGCACACAGTTTGCACAATGCTAGCTGGTGTGCTGTAAGCTTCCATTATTTGCTAGTCACATTAGCTTCTTAGCTCCAGTGTAAAACTAAAGAAGCAAACTTCAGAGACCAAACACGACTACATTTGGAGTATAAGGGGAAAATTGTGTAGACTTGTATTTTCACCAAATTTTTCCTTTCATATTTGTTATTGTTTAAAGGGACAAATCATAAATATAACAATCGCTATGTGTTGTAAACATACTAACTAGCAGTGCTGCAGTAGTATCCAGAGTGAGATTTTCCAGTTTAAAGACTAGAAAACCCTGCTGACAATGTATTTTGAAGATGGGAGAAACTTTTGAAAATCTAGAACTTGGGAAGGATTTTTTGAGGTGGGCTGTTTTGTTCGACGGCTGAGGTAAACATTAACATTGATGCTAGCTTGGTTGTGTTTATTAGTCTATTGATCAGAGGCTGTGCTAGCAGTCAGTTCGGTTGACAGCAGATGAATCCCCAGTTGTATAAGGTATTTGTGTAAAGCATGCTGGGTATTGTAGTGAGAGAACATAAATAAACAAAAATTATATAAAATTATGAATTCTATGAAGCTGATTAAGGAATGCAATACTGCTGTACAGAATATTACAACACATTCAACATATAAACAACATATTAAACTATATTTTTAAGTCTGAATGCCCTTTTAGGCATGAAGTATGCCAAGTTATTCTGACTTTTGAGTAATATTGTTTTTTTTTAACTTACAGATGGTAACCTAGACGTCTATCAGAACAACAAACTGCTCACTTCCATCGCAGTCTGGACAACATTTGGTGAATTAGCCATTTTATATAACTGTACCAGGACTGCGTCAGTCAAAGGTAAAGTATTTCATAACTGTTCATAATGGGACTCTAACTGTGCGATAGCATGAATAGAAAAAGTTATCAAAGAAAAAAAATCCTTTCTTATGAATATGAAATCAGACATATTAAAAATGTAACATGACAAGGAAATAAGCAGGAGTTGATACAGTGAATTATGCAAATGTTCACCCCACTTCAGGTGGGGTGGTGGAGAGATACAGTTTGTCCTAAGCTCAGTATTCTGCTTGGATAACACCAGTTCACTGGTGTGTTATCTAAACATGGTGAGCTCAGACTTGGAGAATATTTCACATTTAGACATCCAAACCCACTGTTGCCTATGGCCATCAAACACAGAAAAGGAGGCAAGACTGGAACACCTTGTACACTCCTGATTTCCTTTGCAGCGCAAAGCTTTTGGACACATCAGCGATTTAGTTTGTTTTGGCCTAAAGCACTTTCTCCAATCAAATGACCCTAATGATGTCAGATATTTACAAAAGCACTCTAAGCAGGATCCTATTCATGAACTGCAGTATAAACTCGGAAAGAACACTGACCACATGTGAACCCATAGCCTTGCCAAACTGACACATCAAGACTAGATAACATTTCAGATAATTCATAATAATGTTTATTCCATACAGAGATGGTGGACAAATTAGAAAAAGAACATGAATAAATGAATGGAGGGACATAATCAGAAACTTGAGCAGGTGCTTCCAGACAGATGTACCGAATGAAGCAGTTATGCAATTAACATCTTACCATGCTCTGTGGCAGGTACACAGATTAGCCATAACCTTAAAACCAAGTCCTTGTTTCCACACTTACTGTCCATTTTATCAGCTCCACTTACTATATAGGTGCACTTTGTAGCTCTACAATTACAGACTGTAGTCCATCTGTTTCTCTGCATACTTTGTTAGCCCCATTTTACCCTGTTGTTTAATGGTCAGGGACCCCACTGGACCACCATAGAACAGGTATTATTTGGGCGGTGGATCATTCTCAGCACTGCATTGACACTGGTGTGTTAGTATGTGTTGTGCTGATATGAGTGTATGTAAAGTCAGAGTAAGTAGCTCATCTGTTGTTGCACAGTTTATGTTGGTCATCCTCTAGTCCTTCCTCAGTGGTCACAGGACGCTACTCCCTGGATATTTTTGGTTGGTGGAATATTCTCAGTCCATCAACCAAAAAAACCTGAGCAGCACTGCTGTGTCTGATCCACTCATACCAGTGCAACACACACTAACACACCACCATGTCAGTGTCTCTGCAGTGCTGAAGAGCAGCCGTTATGGTGACTGAGAATATCAGTGCAGGACATGATCAGACTGTGAGCAAGATATAATGATATAATAATACATTTGTGTAAACCCCCTTATTACAAAGACAAACGCACATTTGAGAGTTCAGTGGTGCAAAAATCATAGACTGATCTAAGAGATGTGGAAAAAACATTGTCCTTTACCATGTTCTGCAAGTGGACGGGGACATGTGTGGCGTGTACAGGCCTGAATGTTTGACCCCTACAGTGAGGAGGCCTGGTTACTCTGTTATGCTGTGGGGACATTTTCCTGGCTTGATTTTGGTCCACTTGTCCCCTTAGAGGGAAGGGTCACTGCAAATCAATGGGAGTGGTCTCTACTAGGATGACACTGACTCCATCCACAGGGCAGAAGGAGTCAATGAATGGTTTAATGAGTATCAAGATGATCTCAAATCTCAACCTGTTTGAACATTTAAAAGACATTTTAGACCAATGTATTAGACCGTGCTCTCCACCATCGTCATCAAAACACCCACTGAGGGAATATCTTTAGGCAGAATGGTTTTCTATTGCTCCAGAACAGTCTCAGAGACTTGTAGAATCCAAGCAAATGTGAATTGAAGCTGTTCTGGTGGCTTGTGGTGGTCATTTTGGATTTTCCTTTGGTTCATGATTTTATTGTGTCAAGTGGTTGCACACAAAGAAAAGATGTTACATCAACACAATTGCTTTATGTTTACTTGTTTTAGCAAATATTATGTTCATGTAATACATTTTATTAATGTGCAATCATATTTTACCAGTTACACGTCAATTCAAAGCACATTTTCCCCAGTCTGCTGCTAAGCTGACATTACTACATTTTGCCAGAATGCTGTCGAGCCAGTTAACAAGAGAAACTATGATTGTCAGATAGACTCAGTTCAAACCAAGAAGAATAACACTTTAACTATACGTTGTAACTTTTTATCTTGACCACACTTATTCAGTCCTATAAGTCTCTCTTGATTTGACATGCCGCAATAAAACGTGACCACTCCCCAAGCACCCTATTGGAAGCAGCTGTTGTTTCCTGGTAACTGGTTCACTGCTAGTTAATCTTGTCCCATGCAGTGAGGCACAGGTCAAGCCCTGACAGCACGCTGGCATTTCCCCTTACCTGCTGCTTTTTTGTGGTTGCAGCGGCCAGCAATGTCAGGACCTGGGTCCTTGACCGAGAAGTCTTTCACAACATCATGCGAATGACTGCTGAGGCGCGGCATGAGCAGCATCGCAGCTTCCTCAGAAGGTGATCCAACCAACATATCGTCCCCCACAGTCCACGCTAGCATCAAGTAACAGTACCTGCTACTGTGACCATCAAAGAGAGATTTTCTCAGCTATGAGAAGATACAATGGAACAAGCAAGAAAAGTGTAGCTATGAATTTTCCAGGTTGAAAGTGCAAGCTGGCCTAGAAACGTGGTTTTCTAACACACCTGATCCAACTAATTAAATCTAAGCTGTTTCTGTGTTAAGGTTAGGAGTGGGCAATATGATGATTATATCACAATATGATGGATATATAATTATATCACATTACGTCACAATATGCGTTTCAGATTGTATGGTGAATATCATCAATACTTAAAGAATACTGACAAGACTGCATGTTTGATTACAAACAGAGCATAATTAGTCCTGTTTAATTGGATTTAGTGCAGCAGGATTTAGTTCAGTCTATTTTGAATTTATGTTTTTGTGATATCCTAAGAACCAACTCATTTACATATATCCACCTCATTTACATATATCCACCCGGCCTACAGCAATTTAGGTACACCCACTTATGTTGAAGTTATAAGGTACAATACAGGACAGCCAAACCTTTATCTTTAAGAATGGGTGTGTTGTAGCAGGAAAACCACTACACTGAGCGGGACAGGGGTATTCCAGGACCAGGATAAGGAGCCACTGGTCTAGATGTATGCTTGAAATGACCTCCTTGACCCTATATATACAATTTAGATAGAAAACATGACTGGAACCCAGTGGACTGATTTCATTTGAAGGCTAAGCTAGTCATGTTAATAGGAAAACATAAACCACTGAGATAATCTAATTTGAGCTGAAATAAACACAAGTGTTCTTTATTACCTTTGTACCACATATCTTCACAAGAAGATCTCTATCTTGTTCTGAAGATGTCTGGCAATCATTGATTTCCTCTCTTCCCTTTTTGAATTCCAGCGTTTCACTTTTGGCCAATCTACCAGAGGACAAACTGACAAAGATTGTTGACTGCTTGGAGGTGGTAAGTAAAGATCTTATCTCTTCATAGTTGATTAGATATCCTATTGAACACCAAGCCAGAAAACTGTTACACCCACCATCAATGATCCTTTTGTTAGACAGGGCAGATATTCCGTCTGTCATCTCCTGGCCCAGTAGATTGTTATCATAATTATTTGACATTGTTGCCGTAATTATTTGACTAAGGCCAAGTAAAATGTTCCTGATTTGGAGGTTGAGGGTGGAAGCTGGGGGGCTGTGTGGGCTGTGATTTGTTAAAGATGTGCGTGACAGCCAATTCAAGCTGCTGACTGATTTATTCCATGGCTCTCTGAGGGGCCAAAAGCAAGTTTTTCTAAAAGAGTGTGGGCTTTGTCAGCTTTGTGTCAAATAACCCTCCTCGCATTCCCCACCTTCTGAAAAAACTTCAAGGACATTCCTCTCGATTGTCGGTCCCCAGGGTCGAATGGGAGAATTCTGTTATTCAATCATTCCGATGGAGTTGATTATATTCCCTCCCGAGGGATTGGGAAGCAATGTAACTCAATAGTGGCACAGATGTTTCAGACTGCAAAATGCAGATAATGTGGAGCTCTATCATTAAACAGTGAGGAATGGAATGTGGTGAGGGAGTCTTAGAGTGGACAAATGTTTTGGAGTTCCTGCTGTAAAGAGGTCCAGGGCTCGCCTGGAGAACTTCTCAGATGAAACAACAGCAGAGTCCGGCCGGGAGGACGCATGGTTGGGTCGTGGATATGTTGATAGCAATCATGCTTATCTACGGAGAATGGCCAGAACTAATGTTTCTTTCTGCAGCTTCCAAGAATCTGCAACTGGTGCTCACCAAAAATATGCTGAAGACATCGATCATGGTCACAGTTTGAAGGTCGTCCAGTTTCTGAGCTGCACGGGTTGTTTTGTTTGTGGTAATGATGGACATGAAATGTACAGTATATACAATATAGGCTAAAGGTATGGAAGCAAGTAGTGATTCTAAAAGTTTCAGAACTATTTTATACTTACAGTGATGCACAAAAGCCAAAGCCCACCATTCTTTTACTCAGCCATTAAGAACAAGATTCATTTTACAGATATTTCTGAGCACTTGCATAAAGAAGGGGAAAGTCAAAAAGTAAGTGGAAAAAAAGGAGTTTTTCCAAAACTGTAGAGAAAATATGAGTGATGATAACTGTGGTAGACACCCAAAACTGTCATCAGATACACAATACTTAAAGCTTTTATCTTTGAGAGAGACAAGATAATCAAACTCCAATCTTGATTCAGATTTGAAGAAATCCACTGTCCATCCCTCCACTGTGGTGGAAATGGCACAGGTGGACACACTAAGTACTGAAGAATATGATATTACATTTAGTTGCTGATGCTTCATTTTCTGTTAAATATCATTGCTGTCCAAAGAAAAACTCCATTTCTGTTTAATTTTGATTGTTTTGCATCATCAAAAGCTGCCCTTTATATTTGTGTGAAAATTTCATGATGACTGGACCAACAGAAATGCCCCAGAATTGCTTGAAATAAAATCTTTTATATTAACTTACATTAGAAGTAAAGAATGTTTTTGCCCTCTGCTGAAAAGTTGCCATTTTGGAGATGCTTGTTTTTCTTTGGATAATGATAATGATAATTTTCCATTTTTGGTGGAAATTACATAAAAGAAGAGTGTTTTCTGACTTTTGTACAGTACTGTAACAGCATGTTCAATTACATCTAGTTTAAATGAATATTTCCATATTATTCCATTGGTTTGCAGTGATGTACTTTTATTCTAACATATTATTTTAAGAGCACTTTCTTACATTGAGCTTTCAGAAGCATTAGAAGGGGAAAGCCAGTTGGATCTGATTAGAGGTAAACTAACATAGAATTGGACAGTGCTGCTGCAGACATGTAGTCATGTTACCCTTTTGTAAACATAGTTTATGAAATACCTGTGGGACATAAATATAGCATATAATGTACGTTTAATTATGGAATGTGCTTTTATTCTCTATTTGTTAAAGGTTGCCATGAGATGGTAAAATGATCGTTTCTAATTGAGTTGGAATATTGATGAATCATATATTAATATAACATGTACTGTACTGAGCAAAAGTCTTGTGACTGTGTTAGCTTAACCATTTCCAGACCTCTCCTCGAGGAAGTCCAGTACTTACAGTTACCATTACAAACCTTCTTCAGCTAATCAATCTTTCATTACATTTAATCAGGTGTGCTGCTGACGGAATTAAACACATCCACACAATGTCGGGAGCTCAGCCAGACGTCAAGAACCAAGCATATTCTCAAGGCTGTATTCTTAAAAAAAAAAAAAAGGCTGTATTCTCCTAAACAAGGCATCAATGGCTTTTTTGGAAAAAAAGATCTTGTTATATTTTACTGTGTGTTTATTTGTGTCTATTCTAATCTTTTATGGTGTTTTATCTACCAGTGTAATTGCATTTATAGTCAAGATAAATACAGGGTGTCCCAAAAAATTGACATCATTTGAGATGTGAGACATCTGAGTAACTACATGTCCTAGGCAAACAAAATTAAATAGGCTTCACATTGAACAATACAAGATTTATTTATCAAAATTTGAGCAAGAAATTCAGAGGGATGTAGATTTTATAACCAATTTCATAAAGCTTCACAAATGTAATATCTTCCGATACTGGTGGTCGTCCAGATCCCTTTGCCCTGCACAGACAGCCTTCCTCTTTGAATTTTTTGTGCCATGTCCAAATCTGCTTTCCAGTTGGTGCATTTTTATTGAATTTTCTCGAAAATGCGCGCTGCACATTCTTGTTTGACTGTGTTTGAGCATATTCTAACACACAAAATGCCTTTTCATTTCCAGTGAACGCCATTCTTCAACCTGAATTAAACTTGGTTAGTTTTTACATATTTCTTTTAAATTTGAGATCATTTGAGGGAGAATTGGCTATGTTATTAGACTACGAAATTATGTCAATTTTTTTGGGACACCCTGTAGTTTTAAACAATTCTCTTGCCTAAGACTTTTTGCACAGTGCTGTACATTTTTCTTAATATTTGACTAATCACTAATGTACACTGGCTGTGATTTACATTTTGCATAAAATGTCAATCATGTCTCAGGTTTTTGTCTACAATGGTTAGTTGTAACCATCCCCACTCTTGTATTCCAGTGGTAGATTACAGGACATATGAGGTAATGGTTGAGTGTAGATGACATAATCAGCTTAGTATGATTGGAAAGTAGCTGACTGAAATGATGTCTTTCAATCTGGCATTGGCATGCTTGGCTAATGAATACTATACGTGAACAAAACTTTCTAAGTGAAAATAGTACACATCCTCTACTGGGAGCAAACTTTTTTTGCTTTTAACATATTGGAAAAAATAGAAATAAAACAGAAAATATGAAATGTGCCAGAACTTTCACACAAACCACATTTTGTTGTATTTCTTTCCAGTACATGAAATGCAAATAATAGCAAATAAACCGTAATTATGCATTAATTGTGCAGAAATGTGTTCTCAGTAGAGGATGTATACTTAGAAGATAAACTCAGAACATCAACAAAAGGTGTAATTTAACCAGAGACACCCAAATTTTGCATGTGACTGTATATTTAGAGCCAACTTCTCAAAGCTTGATGGATATCAGAGGTAGCTGTGCAGTACAAAGCTTCCTATAGTACCTCTGAAAAAGTGCAGCCTTCCTGCAGTCTCCTTTGGGACGATCTCTACGGGAACAAGTCAGCAGTGACTCAGTGGGAAATCAATAACTAAATGAGATCTTTCTTGTATTTCCTCATTAGGAGTATTATGACAAAGGCGACTATGTCATCCGGGAGGGAGAGGAAGGAAACACTTTCTACATTATTGCCAAGGGAAAGGTAATATCTGCACCGCATGCATTATTATGCATTGAAGTAATGATTGAGCTCATCAGAGTGTTTTACAGAAGGATTCGAGACATTAACAGTTTATAATAGTTTAGACCATTTTTTGTTGCTGATTTGACTGGACTTTTAAGTATATGTTGCTATGGAGAGTCAGAACACCATTGTTTAATGAAAGAATGTAACCTTGTAATAACATGTAATGAAATACATAATGCCTTTAAGTTTTTAATGTCATAACAAAAGCTCATATCTCAGAAATTATTACAGGAGAAGGAAATGACTTTGTGAACCTTAATGTTTGTTAAAACTGAAAGAAGTATCATTTCACAAATGACGTTACTAAATGTTCTTCCGCACGTTGCGTGCAATTACACATTTCCACCAGAGAGGTCTCCAAATCCCCATATCTTACCTACTGCATATCAGTATTAGTATAACAGGAGTTTATTTTGGACCATTTCTGTTGGTTCATTCATTATGAAGTGTTACATAATGTAAAGAGAAGCTAGCATTTTCAAATGGTGTAAAAAAATAAAAAAAGGAATAAAATGGAGCTAGCAAGGTTTTGCTATGACAATGACAATGTCATGCACATAAATTTCATACATTTTGCATGATATTTTACATAGGTTGTTTGTAATTCTGTACACATTCATCAAAGTGTTCTATACAGTACCTAAAACAGGTTCTTTGACTTTTATCAATGGTGGAACTCTTTTTGATGCTTTGTTGAACCATTTTTCAAAATGTTCTTTGCAAAAACATATACAACAGGTGCTTAGTCACGGTGAAGAACCATTTAACACTACAAAGAAACACCTAAGCATTCAAATGATTCCTTGAGTTGACATGGTTCTCCATATATTATCTAGGAACCCCCTTTTTAAAGGGTTCCATAGCATACAATAGCACTGGACCCACGCTTGGAAGTTGCAGTTATCAACAATGATAACAAAGCATGATTTAATTTGTAGAGATACAAATCAGTATTGGCACTTAAAGTACATTATGTCGGACAGATGTTTAAATTTAAGGATGTATTTATTGTACTCTGGAAAAGCAGAATGTTTAGGTGACGCTGGGCTACTGTGCTAAAATATCTACATTTTATTCAGGCTTGATTAAAAAAAAAAGACAAAAACCATCCCCCTTTCCACCCTCTTTACATCTTTTAAGATTTTCTTCCCATCTACATGATAGATTTACACACCAAATTGGGCTAGTTTGAAAATGCATGTTAATTTGTGCTGGACATGGCAGCCCTGTCAACTGCAGAGAATGATAAAAAGTACTTTGATCTGTATAAAGAAATACCAAATGGCAATATAATATAATATCTCGTTTGTGTTTAAAATTAGAGGAGTATTTTTTTTATTTAAATTTGATAAAGAGTTATTGATCCGATGGCCCGGTATCAGGTCCATATCAATAGAAAGTGTTGGATCGGCGAGAGGAAAGACAAAAAATGAATGTGATCCAATCCTGCAACAAAACTATTGTGAGAATGCACACACTCACATTAGGTTGAGCATGATAACCTACTTTTAGATGCCCATCTTAAGTGAAGTGTTTCATTTTAAACAAAACATCTCAGATCATGTCAGTACCAGAAAAGAATAAGTGAAGTTGTGCCTCAACAACTTACGTTGTTATAATTTCTTGACAACGAAACAATAATAACCTATTCACGCATGTAAATGAAATTCATTACATAACTAGATAACTTGACTTTTACGTCCTGGCTCTTATCTCTGTTCAGTGAAGGCTACAGTATGCATTATTCAGTATTTATCTTGTCCTCCAAATCCTGCTCCCTAGAAGCTAACCCCCTATTGCTGAAATCAGCTTCCTCTAACCAGGCCCAACAGTTGCAATAAGAGAAAATACACTGATCTGAAGGCCACTGCTATGGACACTTTCCCTCAACACCGCTGACCCTCACAGGGGCTGTATAGGAAACGCTTGTCCATTACTGTGGGCGGTAGAGCGTGTTAAGATAAATCAGTAACCTGACACTGCAGGGGTTAAGAGACAGAGGCCTCTGCTGGGAAGCGACAGGAACCGTTTAGCATGAGCTATCCAGGCTTGGATCCCCCACAGGGCCCCCACTGTCGATGCAGCTCTAATTGGGAGAGGGGGAGGACAGATGTTTTTTTCTGAAGGGGGATTTAAGTGGCGGAAATGATGCTTCTCGTCAGCCTGTCGCCACCCTGTCCAAGACGGTGTGTTGGGAATAAGGCCATTAGTGTTAGCCACCAAAAAACTGGCTATCAGGTCAAGAGGGTCAGCCACGGATCACTTTACAGGAGTGAGGAGGAAGTGGATGTCCTGTCATGGATGAAGCATAATTAAAAAAAAGAATAAAAAAAAAAATAACAGAAGCTAAAATCCATTGTTTGGAAACAGATGTAAGATCTGAGAATGTCATTATTTTTGAATATATAATTAGAGTGCAGTCTGTTTTGCTTTGGGTCTCCCGAACATTGAATTGAACTGAAGTAATTGGACAAATTAACATAATTTTAGACAAAATTGATGACTGTCTAATGTTTGTCTCTGATTGAATTATTATTCGTCATGATGACCTGCTTTCCTGACGTTCATGCTTTGCTGGTCTCCATGCAGCAACGGACTCCAGATGCAGAATCAACTTTTAACCTTTTATTAGCTGTTTTTGTCTGATGTTGCAATAGTGCATCATAGTCCAAGAAACAACCATCTAATTGCTTATGGTCCCCTGACTGTGTAACTTCATATTAATTTTTTCTTTTAAAATTTAGCCAAAACAACAATAATGTCACTGTCCAGTTGCAATTCAATAAATACAGAACTGGAATTATGTTTTTCCTTTTTTAGAAATAGCCCAAAATGCCCAGACTGCTATTGGCCATGTGAGTTCTCACTTTAGTTGCTAGGTCAGAGAAGTGATCTTTTGAAACTGGGAGTAAAATATCTAAATCATGAGCATTTAGATCAGGTATTTAAATTTCTCTATATATTTTTTGCATATTATTAACATTCCCTTCTGTTTATCCCTCTGAAAAATGATAATTTCCAAGACCAGGTAAATTTTCATGATGGCTTTGACATGTGGTCAGGACAGTCTCCACATGGACGCAAATGAATTACAGGACAGCCAGTAGAGACTTGAGCTTCCTTAAAAACAATAAAATCTGAAGTTTAGGCGCTCACGGATACCGATAGCCTAATTTATTAACAACTGTCAGGAGATCATGAATTTTCGATCCCCCCCGGGGTGATGCCACAGCCATCCGTGACCGGGAGTCCAAGAGAGCATAACTGGCCTCGCTCTCTGAGTGGGTAGGAAGGCCCTCTCTCTCTCTCTCTCTCTCTCTCTCTCTCTCTCTCTCTCTCTCTCTCATTACTCAGTGTAGGCGTCCATTAGCTGTTGTAGCAGAATTGTCAGTTAGCGTTCTCCTTCAGTGAGTGTTGAGCAGTCCAGTGATGTTGCGTTAGTGGTAGGCTGAAAAGATGTGGCAGCTTTACGTCTCAGAGGAAGCACTTGCTAGCTTTCCCCCTCCCAGCTTGGTAGCACTGTGTGATGGGGGACCCAACTAGTGATAACAACAAAGTAAATAAAGCTGAACGTGAGTTAAAGTTCTCTTGTAAGAGCTCATTTATTTCTGTCTCATTGTTTTATCTGTGTACAATTTGGGAGATGTTAGCTTTCCTTGTGCTTGTGTTCCTATGGATGGGTTAGATGCCTCATATTGTATTGTTGATTATGCTGTGTAGCCATATTATGAATCATATAGCTGTCACACAGCCTTGTACTGGGCTCTATCAAGGTTAATGGGTCACCATTTATGTTGCATCAATGATATTTATATAATCTGACTGATTGTGTTTTGCCCAGATTAAAGTAACCCAAAGCACAAAGGATCACGATGAGCCACAGGTCATCAATACCCTCCAGAAAGGAGATTATTTCGGAGAGAAGGCTCTCATCAGGTAACGCTCTTCAGAACCTTATGGCACATAATACTTTCACATATTACATCCACGAAATACTTTTTTAAAAATTATTATGTGGTTGAAATTAAAGTCTTATATCTCATTTTTAGTGTACATATGTAGTTGACATACATGAGCTTTATTAATGAAAACATTACTGCATAATTAGCTTATTTAATTACATAGCGATTTTCGTACTGGTAGAATGTCTCATCCACCTTATCAAGGTGATGCATCATTTCAGAGACACTCCAGTGAGGTTTGAATCAGGTCTAAACACATTACATAATTTTTTTCCTCCTCTATGCAGTGATGATGTCCGGTCAGCTAATATAATCGCAGATGAGGATGGTGTAGAGTGCCTTGTGATTGACAGAGAGTAAGAACACACATCATTTTCCCCTTTCAGCAGAACTGCATGCATTATGTAGTGCATATTTGGGCTTTATTGCTTTCCTAATATTCTTCATGTCTCCTTGCAGAACATTCACTCAGACTGTTGGTACCTTTGATGAACTGAAAAAATATCTTCAAGGCTATGTTGAGACTCTGGCCCGTGATGACAAGAAGAGAAATGCAAAGTGAGTGAGTTTTCATTTTCTTAAATATATGCAAAAATTATCTGAGGACTGACCAGCCACACTCCTTGTTTATACACTCATTGTCCATTTTATCAAATCCACTTATCATATAGGTGCTCTTTGTAGTTCTACCAATTACAGAGTTGTTCGCTCCCTTTCACCTTGTTCTCCAATGGTCAGGACCCCCACAGAGCAGGTATTATTTGGGTGGTGGATCATTCTTAGCACTGCAGTGACACTGACGTGGTGGTGGTGTGTTAGTGTGTGTTGTGCTGGTACGAGTTGATCATGCACAGCAGTGCTGCTGAAATTTTTTAAACACTGTGTCCACTCACTGTCCACTCTATTAGACACACCTGCCTTGTTGTTCCACGTTGTAGATGTAAAGTCAGAGACAGTAGCTCATCTGTTGCTGCACAGTTTGTGTTGGTCATCCTCTAGTCCTTCATCAGTGGTCACAGGACGCTGCCCACAGGACTCTGTTGGCTGAATATTTTTGGTTTGTGGACTATTCTTAGTCCAGCAGTGACACTGAGGTGTTTAAAAACTCCAGCTGCTCTGCTGTGTCTGATCCACCCGTACCAGCACAACGCACACTAACACACCACCACTGCAGTCACTGCAGTGCTGAGAATGACCCACCACCACACAAATAATACCTGCTTTATGATAAATAACACCTTTATGATAAACGGACCTTACAAAATGGGCAATAAGTATAGATATATGGAAGTGTACTTATTGAAGCTGGTTGGTGTATATGACAATATCATTTGTATATGACATAATAATAATAATTATTATTAAACAATATTCCTAATCAAGCCTTTCTTTCTCTTATATCACATTATTTGATCAGTTTAAATGGAAACAGAAAAGCACATCCATAATACTTTGATTTGACAGAAAACTGTCAAATTAAAACCATTAAAAAAATACTTACAATAAAAAGGGCCATTCTGGCCTATAACGAGAGGTTTAGCCCCTTCCCAAGCGTATGACACACTAAAGCTACACTCATAACTTCATGGACTACAATACAAACTAGCTGAGTTATCCTTAGGTTATAGAAGTGTGCAGTAAATTTTTGGGCCTGCCAGTCGGCTCTGGTCATTTAAGGGGTTAATATGTTTTTGTTGTGTTAAGCAGTTTTCTTAGTCAGCCTTGTTGGTTGGACAGAATTTTATATGTATGTTTTAAGTTCTTTTTCATCAGCATTCTCTCACTACAGTACGCAACATGCATTACGCAAATACATCATACAAACAGTCCATGTAGCGTCGAACAGCCTGCTAGCCACTTGTCTATAGGCTAATAAGTACGTCCAAGCTAGCTAGTGTAACTCTTACCTCAGTCATCAAACAAAATTGTAAAGAAAACAGTGATTCAGTCTTTATTCAGTACAAAATGGGTGCCAGAGACACATTTTTTACCCTTTCAGCCAGAGAAAAGGAGGCAAACTGAGGAACGTGTCTAGATAGCTAGTTAGCTACCTTGCTAACTTTAGTCATTTCTGTCATTTGAGTAATCCATTCACACTTCTGTAATAGTGGTTCAAAGAGACTTACTACAATTCTACAGCTATAAATTGTTCAGCTTTCTAGAATAGGATAATGGATAATATAGAATATATGGATAATTTTCCAAAAATATATTGATATATTTTCCAGTAAACTGATTGATACCACTTTTCATATATGGTAAAAATATGCATCATATTATCCAGTTCATAGCTTCACATATATATATATATATATATATATATATATATGTAGCTATTATGATTCATATGTAAGAACAGCTGCCATCCTTGAACCTTTCTTTTTTGCAGGCGGTCGGGGAGCAGCACTCCTCCCAGCTCGCCCCTGTCCCTCGATCGGATACAACTCAAAGAAAAAGATTTAACATCCTCTATATCCTTCAGTCACCTGGAGATCATTGCTACCCTTGGAATAGGGGGTTTCGGCAGGGTCGAACTGGTGAGCATTTCCACATCTGTGAGCAGGTGTAAAGTGGTCACTTATATTCAAATTTGTGTTTAGTATGAGTACAAAGAAAGGTGAACGTTTGAGAAGGCCTCAACTCAACTTCAAATGAAATGTCTGTATTTGAAATGTAGACAGACGGATCATGTTTTGAGGAGCATTTGAGGAGCTTATGTAACCTGTGTCCTCTACAGGTTAAAGTGAAGAATGAGAATGTGACCTTCGCTCTGAAGTGCATTAAGAAGCGTCATATTGTGGACAACAGACAGGAGGAACACATTCACTCAGAAAGGAGAATCCTGAGCGAAACCAACTCTTCTTTCATTGTCAAGTAAGTATAAACTGGAAATAATAATAGCTTTACAGAACTGTGCAAAAGTCAGGGACCACCTTTTTATTTTTTTAATTTTTGGTAAAATAGCAATTATATGGACCATTCGACTGAATTAGTTCGATCTGCACACACACACTTTCTAAGCTGCTTATCTTTCTGGTTCCGGGGGTTGCTGGGGCCCATCACAGCAGTCATTAGGCAGAAGGCAGAAAACACCCTGGACAGGTCACTTGTAAAAATAATACTTACTTTTTTGTTTAAAGTGAAGTTAAAAGATTTAGATTTATCATGAATTAAATTTTAAATAAAAATCTACTTTTTTAGAAAATGCTGTTGTACATTTTCATGTCACAAAGAGTTTAGACCATTGGTGCAGACTTATTTTGTCCACATTTTAGTGAGACTTATTTTAGTGAGACTGCATTCCTGTCCGCCTGCTGAGCAGTCAGAGCTCATTGTTTTGGAGTAAATGTGTCCTAAATTCTGAAAATCAGTGTGTAACATTAGGAGTTGTCACTACCGAAACACATATGCAATGAAGTAAAGTTTTTTGTGTTTTAATGAAAAACATTATGATTTTATGTGTACACAACTGTTCAAAGCTGTGTTTGCAAATCGTGTCCTGGCTAGTATTTTTGCGTTATGCTCAAAATTAACTAAAACTGTCACTTGCAAAACTGTGTTAAGATTGTTTAAACACTGTTCTAAAATATGTAAAAATATTCCCAAGTATGATAAGTGTGATAAATTCCATGACATCCATGAATAAGGCGAGTTTTTGTACTGGCTTGCTTGCATTGAAAACAACATACACAATAGGTTGCAAGTGTCTGTCTTGTTGTGACAATGCACAATGTTTGTGATGGACTGAGGTCAAAACAATATACAAGTAAAGGTTTCAGATTAGGTTTTTGGAACTGTATTTTATAAGATTGCAATCTTCATAAATAAAATAAAATTAAAATGTAATAAATTGCACATTTTGGGGTGAGAGGGTGTAGTCATCATACTGTGCTTCAACTGTGTATTTTTGTTTTTTCTAGGATGTACCGCACATTTAAGGACAGCAAGTATGTGTACATGCTGCTGGAGGCGTGCCTGGGTGGAGAGATCTGGAGTCTGCTGAGAGATCGGTTAGTTTCCTGCTGATCATACATTCAACAAAACAATACACATAATCAGAAGTGTAAAAATCGTATGGCAATAATCTGAAGGTGGCAGTTTAAATGTGTAAATTTAGTAATGTTAGAATTAACTGTAATTAATAATAATAATTAATAGTTCTGGCCAGAATAAGGTTCTTTAGTTTTTTTTTAATAAAAAATAAAAAATGGTTGTGGTGATGTCATGATTCCCCTGGTCAGGTTACGCTGTCACCTGTCTCTACTCCCTCCATATCTCCACCCTACTTTGTCTCCACCTTCCCAATTAGTATTGTCACCTGTGTTGAGTTAATTCCCAACATATCCCTATAAGTAGCCTTCATTTTGTCCTTTTGCTTTGTTAAGTCTTGTATTTATGTTGGTTCAGGTCTCTCAGGTTTACCCCTCTGTGCTCTGTTTCTTTAATTTAGATCTTTTTTGTTGGTTCTTTGTTTCTTCTAGTTCAGGTTTGTGTTTCCCTGGTTTTCTTTACTTACGTTTTTGTCTACAACAGTAACAAGTGTACAACAATAACTTGCACCCACATTCCACCTTCAGTGTTACAGATGAATTGTTGTTTTTTTGTCTGTATCTCACTACTGTCTAATTAGGCTCTCCAGTCATATTTGTGTATTCATTATAATAATAATTGTGAATCATGCCAAAATAATCAAAACAGTTCATGGTGAAATAACAGTGAGATTCCCTTCACTCTTTTCGAGCTTCAGTAAATTAAGGTACAGTAACTAGCAGTTCTTCATTTTGTCAGCACCAAATTATAACAAATCTTTAACAAAGCCTCGGCAAATACTCTAAACAACAACTGATGTTTTTGGACTTTTGAAATTGACCTACTAGATTCTTTGAATATATACACTCACAGAGCACTTCATTAGGAACTCCTGTACACTTACTCATTCATGCAATTATCTGAACAGCCTATCATGTGGCAGCAGTGCATAAAATCATACAGATATCGGCAGCAGCTTCAGATATTGTTCACATCAACTATCAGAATGTCGAAAAAATGTGATCTCAGTGATTTTGACTGTGGCGTGATCAGTGGTGCCAGACAGGCTGGTTTGAGTATTCCTGCAACTCCTGGGATTTGATGCACACAGTCCCTGGAGTTTACTCAGAATGGTGCAATAACGGAAAACATCCAGTGAGCATCAGTTCTTGGACAGAAATGCCTTGTTGATGAGAGAAATCAACAGACAATAGCCAGACAGAATGGCTCTGGTAACCCAGATAACCACTCTGTACAATTGTGGTGAGCAGAAAAGCATCTCAGAATGAACATGTTGATTCTTGAGGTGGATGGGCTACAACAGCAGAAGACTATGTCAGGTACCACTTCTGTCAGGCAAGAACAGAAAGCTGAGGCTGCAGTGGGCACAGGCTCACCAAAACTGGAGAGTTGAACACAGAAAAAAATGTAGTCTGGTCTGATAAATCTCAATTTCTTGTATAGAGTTGTATAGATGGTAGGGTCAGAATTTTGTGCCAACAGCACGAATCCATGGACCCAACGTGCTTTGTGTCAACAGCCAAGGCTGGTGGAGGTGGTGTAATGGTGTGGGGAGTGTTCTCTTGGCGCATTTTGGGCCTGTTAATATTAATCAATCATCATTTGAATGCGTCATTCTATTTGAGTGTTGTTGTTGACCATATGCATCTCTTCATAGCCACAATTTACCATCTTCTAATGGCTACATCTAGCATGATAATGCAGCGAGTCACAAAGCAAATGTCGTTCCAAAATGGTTTCATGAACATGACGATGAGTTCACTGTTCTTCAGAGGCCTTCCCAGTCACTGGATCTGAATCCAATAGAATACCTTTGCTATGTGGTAGGATGGGAGATTCGCAGCATAAAAGTGGACCTGAAAAATCTACAGGAATTGCCTAATTCAATCATGTCCACATGGACCAGAACCTCAAAAGAATGCTTCTAACATCTTGTGGAATCCATGCCATAAAGAATTGAGGCTGTTTTGAGAGTAAAGGGAGGCCCTACCCAGTATTAGTATAGTGTTCCTAATAAAGTGCTCGGTGAGTGTATGTATCATTATTCTAGTGTATGGTATCTGTTGTAGGAGCAGAACACTGTCCCTTGTTTGTTAATGCGTGCCTTTGTTTTTTAGGGGAAGCTTTGATGAGAACACTACCAAGTTTTGTGTGGGTTGTGTGACTGAAGCATTTGAATATCTCCACAACAAAGGAATCATCTACAGGGACCTGAAACCTGAGAACCTTATGCTGGACTCAGATGGATATGTAAAACTGGTGGGTAACGTTTGTACAATGTGCAGATGAGATGTCTGCATTACTAATGTTTTAGGCTGACTCATGATACCATATGAGCAGCAGTTTGACATTCACTCTTGTCCATCATCTGTTAGGTTGACTTTGGCTTTGCCAAGAAGATCAAGTGTGGCCAGAAGACATGGACGTTCTGTGGAACTCCTGAATATGTTGCACCTGAGATCATTCTGAATAAAGGCCATGGCCTCAGTGTGGACTTCTGGGCACTGGGAATCCTAATCTTTGAGCTTTTGACTGGAAGGTTTGTACTAGATCTGTACCTTTGACTCTAACAAGTGAAAGTTCATGCATATGGCTGCTGTTTGAGCTCTGTAACCTTTTTCTGTTTTTTATAGAAAACAGGATAATATACACTGTCAGAAGCCACATAAGCAGATTTATTTGAGATGACTTAACAATGCAACATGGTTTGATTGAAGAGTGTGATGATTTAAATGTACACTTTGTATAATGCTAACTGGTGGGTTATTAGCTTCCTTTACTTGTTAACCTTATTAGCCTCGTAGCTCCAGTGTAAACTAAACGTTAGACACCAAATATGTCTTGGTTGATTGACTACCTTCAGCGTAAATTTAATTTCCTCCAAACTATCACTTTAATATTAAAAATCTTTGCAGATTAATGAAAATTTAATCAAATGGTGGAGCAACATGAAACCTTTTTATATGTTTTGGGGATCTTTTCAGAGCTAGGAAGAATAAATAACATTTTATTTAATTGCTGCATGAGATGAAATAAGTAGATTTTGGTAGAATTCTACTTTAAAATTTGATACTTTTTCAAAAGACTTTAATACTGTTTGGACACTGGATGGGTTTGGACTACGCTCCATTTCAAAAGGCGAATTCCTTCACCTGGGACACTCATCCATTTCAGTCTCACTTGTATCAAAATATTTGACCAATGTCATGTAACTAACAGTGATTGGATTCTTTTTAAGTCATCATGTTGTTTTTGACTTCTAAACCAATCATTTGCATAGAAACCGCTCACTATGCTGAAGAAGACTGGCCAAATTATTGCAGAAAGGCTGATTTCTCTGTATCCAATTATCAGAGACTATAAATTATACTGTAAAAAATGATGTTTTAACTTGGTTAGTAACCAGTCTGCCTTAAAATCTTGAGTTTATTGAACTTCAAATAAATTAACACATCTGTTGACAGATGTACAGTGTGAGCATCTAATTTTTTAAAAATCTAACTTCTTCCACAGCCCCCCCTTCACTGGCTCAGATCAGATGATGACATACACATTCATCCTGAAGGGCATGGAAAAGATGGACTTCCCAAAGAAGATCACCAAAAGGCCAGGGGACATTATTCGAAGGCTCTGCAAGTATGATCATTCAAAAACAATGTAATCCCAAAAATTGACAGTTCAGTGGGTCGTTTAAACATCGTTCTGTAGTATAAAAACTAAGAGGGGTATAGATGAAATGACAGCACACAATCTTGTTTTCCCCACCCCTTACCCTCCTCACAGACAAAACCCTTCAGAGCGACTTGGGAATATGAAGAATGGAATAACAGACATCAAGAAGCACAGGTGAGGAAAACATGCACAGACCTGTTGTCATGTGATGAACATGGCATGTGGTGTCCTTATAGGTGGATCATGTAAAAAGAGTCTACAGTTGAGCCCCTCAAATGATTAACCACACTGTCCTTTTTGTAAATTATCACTCTTCTATTTTATTGTGCACAACCTTTTACACTAAAAGCCAAACTATGTTTTTATTTTAGTGATGACTTTATTTTAAATACAATGCCATACCACACATATATGATTTTCACAAAAAATGTCACATATATTGTTTTTCATTGCAAGGGCTCAGCTTCTCCAGTGAGGTGCAGCCGGGCTTAGTTCGGTGAAAAGTGAAAAATATTCCCTTTATCCCAAAAGCCAGATCAGCCAAGACATGTTTTAGGTTGGTTTACGCTGGAGCTACAAGGCTAATGTAGCTAAAAAAATATTGAAGCTAATGTTTGTCAATTAGCATCATGAAAACTGCATGCCTAAATCATCACATGCTTGCCTCGAACCAAACTGAAAGACAAAACTGTGTTGATGTAGAAGATTTAGTCATTCCTGAGGAACTGATCTATTTGAATCAAGTACATGTAATACATCACTTTTTACAGTGCACAATGTTCATTTTAAGAGAAACATTTCAGACAGAGAGGTCAGAGTAGTTATTAGTTTAGGCTGCCTCTGGTTACAGGTTATATCTGAAAGAAAAGGTAGAAAGCTTGCCAGACAGCACTGTATAAGGTAATCTACAACACATGCATGTATTCAGCTGTAAAAAGTAATATTAGTGTTATAAATGATTATATCTGACCACTTTTTGATAGTTAACACACCTTCCCATCGCTTAGCTTACTTTACAATGTGGTTCACAGGGATCCAGTGCACATTCACTCACCTGTTTACTGAGTAAATTAGCCCATCACAGCAAGATATGCTAATTATTAAATGCAGCATCATCAGACACTTAAAACTGACTGTTAACTACCCTGATGGCAGACTTTCACCATAAAGTGTTATTGATGCTTTATCGATGATGGCTGACTGTCTCACTTTCCAAACTGAGGTCCTCAGAAGGGTAGCCATGCTTCATTCAAGGGTGGTACTGGCCACCCCTCAGCAAAACGTCATTATATGACATACTTTTGTGCATTATTATACATAACAGTCTCTCATACAGTGTCTGAATCCACATAAGCAATTCTACTGTGAGATTATTTAACAACTCCACACAGTTTGAGACAAGTATGTGTTGATTTATGCTTGGCCCATATGATAAATCCTAACTGAAGTTGAAAATGTGAGAGACTCCACACATAATGACAAATTTCTCTGATTTTGTCTTAAAAGTCTGTCAGAAAATTATCATTCATCTATCAAAGGCCCACACACTACAAGATTTGCCCAAAACAAAACACCACACGCTTTCAGATTACGCTCCCAATCAACTGTCCCATCACTCAGATCTTGCAGAATATCTCATGGACGAATATATGAAAACTAACATGGCAGACGACAGCAAGAAACCGATTACTGTGCTAGTTATGTGTACATTTATCAGAAAATATTTTTTGTTTTTTACAGTGTCGCTTGGAAAAAAAAAAAAATGTATCCTCACGTACGGCTCTCAGTTCAGCTCGGCTGTCAGTGGCTAACAGTCTGTTGTGTACAATGTCAACAAGAGATCTTCCTCTAACACTACAGGATGTTGAGTCATAAATATTGAGCATGAGTCAGGCATTAGGCAAGCAGTTTGCACAGTGCTAATTGGTGGGGTATAAACTCCCATTACTTAGCTATTAATCTCCTAGCTGTAGTGCAAAAGTTAAGAAGCACCAAAAATGTCTGGGCTGGTTGACTACGCTAAGGATAAAGGATAAAAAACATTTAGATTAGATTTTTTTGTTAAACTATCCCTTAAAAGAGCCCAGGGCTACTCTGGATTTAGAGTAGGATTTAGAGGTTTGTTGCTTGAACACTTTGTCCTTCCCAGGATCTGTGTTAGTGTTCTGCATGTTATGATTATCATCTTACCCTTATACTGGTCCTGTATGTCAGAAATAATGTATGATTGGTGTTCAACATACTTGTCCCTAGAAAATATTTCATGCCCTATATTTGAGTTGTCAGCATGATAATGAAAAGGTTTGCTCAGTTGTTTTAGTAGCAGTGCTGTTTTATCTTAAAATGCAGTCACAATGTAAGGGAAAGCTAAAATGTGGATCAGTGAAATATACACCATCTGCTGAATACTCTTGATAGATTACCGTATAGTTCTTGTTTATGACTTATGGAACAGAACAGAACAGGACACATTGCATTGTGAGCTCAAAGTGCTGCACTGAGAAAGCCTAATGAGGTGCATAAAGCTGAGCAGACAGATCTTAATCTCTATGACCTGGTGGACAGTCCTCAGCCTGATGTGATTTGTAACGTGCAGCCTCAGGCCTAGTGGGTGGTTTGGTAATAGTCAAGAGGAATGTCTTGTCTTCTCCTCAGAGTTCAAACTGCTAACTGAATTCTAGTGGCTCCCTCAGAGAGACGTTCACATTGTTAGATTTCTTTTTATCACTGCTGTCGGACCTCATATCTCCAAAAACGTAACTTTACTGGAGAAGGAAAAAAGTGCTTAATTTTTAATGAAAGTAAATGGAGAAATATTTTTATCCAAGAAACTTGGGAACATTTCTGTTGGTCAGTTAATCATGAAATTTTCACACAATATAATAGGCAACTACTTTTTTTCAAATTATGTCAAAAAAAATGATACATGGTTTGTTGCTTTATTATTGTGAACGAGTGGAACTGGCGTCAAGTATCTGATGTCATATTGAAGGCCTATCGTGAAATGAAGTATGAAGGTGGGACTAAAATCTATTATTGGACACTAATAGGCTTGACATTACAGATCAATGTGCTTTTATCTGCTGTGTAGGTGGTTTACTGGCTTCAGCTGGAGTGGCCTGAAAGCCAGAACTTTGACCTCCCCTCTTAAAAGAGAGGTAAGAAAAGTAAAGATTTACAGATTGAAGGGGGGCATGGTTCAGGATGGTTCAGGATTTGCTCTCATTCAAACACCAAATGTCAGATTTTAAAACAATGTACTGCAAGACCCTTACCTCTCTATGACTGCTTAACAATCTGTCTCCATTGTATCCTGGTTGCATTCACTTTTTTCACAATCAGATAGTCAGCCCAAGACATTTGAAGTCTGAATATGCTCCAAGAGACATGCTAATCTCTCTTTCTTGCCCTAGGTGAAGGGGCCTACAGACCACAGCTATTTTGACAACTACCCTCCTGAAGATGAGATTCCTCCTGATGAACTTTCCGGTTGGGACATGGACTTCTAACAGCCTTTCTTTTCCCCTCCCCAACTTACCTCTATGTGAGCAAAGCCAAAACTCCTTCACCTTCCTTCTCCTCTGACCTTGAAGCCATTAGAATCACAATGTATGCCACAAAGTTCTTTCACAAAGCATGGCCTTCACTGCAAGCCATGTTTGTGGTGGAGTAGGTGGTGCGGTGGAGGAGGCCAAGCCAACTGGGAATGTGGCATTTGAGTGAACTGGACCAGTGTTGTTTCAATGATGTCAGTAGCCTTGTTCAGTTGCGGTTCACATGCTAAGATGATGACATTAGTGTTGCTGGGTATATTTGCCCTGTTTATCTGTCTATTTTTGGAGATCAGAAATGCTAGGTAAGGTTCACCACAAAGTTCTCAAAGGAGCTTTCCCCAAGGGTTCTCCTTGTGTTTGACTTATGGGCTATGGGCAGCACAGCAAATTGTGTGAAACCAGAGGGAATATTTGTCTTTTGACATGGCAAAATTTTGTGGACAAGCAAGAAGGTGAGATACGTTTGGTTTTGGAAGTGACCGCTAGCTAACTGCCGAACCCTTGAATGCAATAACCGCCTGTGGGTGTGAAGGCTAGAGATGTGGCTTCAAACGATGGACCACAGGAGATGAGTGCAGCTGCAGTTTTCTGTAATTCAAGCAGAGTCATGTGAAACGTGTATATTTAGAAATGTGTTTACCGAGAGACAGTGTGACTTTCTAGAGCCTGCAAAGTGCTATTTTCAGTTTCATCTTGCCTCTTCTCTTGAGCCAAAGACATTTTCTAGTCCAGGTCTGTGAATATTCTTACTTGGATTTTAAGTCAGTTTTTGACTATTTATTGAGTGATAATATTGAGAGATTAGGCACATTTTTGATGGGCGCAAAACTGTTGAGACGAAAATGTAACAAATGTAGCATTCAAGTTTTTATGATCATCTTTGATCTGCAGTCTTTCTAGTATAAACACGTGTACAGATGGACTGTAAATAAAATGAGATATTGAAAGTCGAATGTCATTGTGTGGACACTGAGACAATATTGATGTGAGCTCATTACACACGTCATGTCCTATGATACAGCACCCTATATACCAGCCTCGGTTACATAATGATTGCATAATGACAGTGAGGCAAACTACTTATTCGATTGACCGAAAATTATAGCATTTCATAATAAAACTTCAAATGACTGAAACATACAGCTTTATTGATGGTCTGTCAAAAGAGTGATCTGATACAGTTTCCATTGGCATTGAGAAAGTGCATTTACATTGATAACGCAATTTCAATGCTTTGTTTATTAAGGCTCCAACCCAATCTCAGTTAAGGCTTTCCTTGCCCCCCAAAAAAGGCAAGATATGCAACATACAGAAAATAAATAAATGCATTTTAAAGGTCATTTCCATATACAAATATAATTTCTTATGAAGCTTATTATACAAGCACAACCTAACTTTTCATTTACACAATAGATTACACAGTGTGATAGAGAAAGCCCTTCTATAAAAATATATTATACAAGTATTGAAGGAGTGCTCTAAATATGTCTTTTTGAGCTTGATGTGTTATATATTATAGTTCACTTTTATGTATATTTTTCTTTAATCTGCATATGTTGCATGTGTATAAAACGTCCACCTAGAAAACTCACATTTATTAACATGCATTATAAATCACTAAAGCTTCAGTTTTATGTAAATACGAGTAGTAACAGGAAAATGACAGAACCATTGTACACGTTGTGGAAAAAATATCACATTTATAACCAAATATCAAATTAGTAAAATTACTGGAAAAATAAGTCTTTTGGATAAAAAGTAAAATATCCATATCACACTCAAAGCAATGCAAAATTTCCTGAAATGTAAATACAATACTTATGTCTGAACACTCATTTGCACTGGTAGCTTTTTTCCTTTTTTTTCTTTCTAAGGCACTTTGGAAAGCTGTTTGTGCATCTTGATAACAAATCACAATATACAATATATACAGACATATAGGCATATATATTTTTTCAAATGTTTTATCATACGTATGGTACTTCATGGGTTATTTGGTATATTCACTTTTGTGAGTTTATTTTTGGAAGTTTCACTAGAAAAAACGTTTGTTGCTCCAGGGTCAATAAGACCCTCCAAAGTCCTTCAAGTTTTGGCTTCAACTTCATTGACTTTTGACATTGACAGTTAGAGATAGAACCGCTGCGGGTGTTTTTCTGACCTTAAAGTTTCAACACCTTGATAAACACATAATTGCTTGTACTGTATTCTAACCAGATAGTGGTCTCTTTGTATCTGCAGTTGCAGTCTCTATTAATCAGTGAAACCTTCAGCTGAGCCATTGGAAATGTCCTGAATACAGTCGATTAAGTCTGCTACCAATGACCGTATACACAGAGTTACACAGCATAGGTCAATATGCAGCTTGCAAGACAAAGCCTGACATTCACATGCTCTGTAATAAAAAAGCCAACTAAGAGCATCACCCATCTCTGATTTATGGTGGAAGATACATAATATGGCCTAAGCTGTGCTCATACACAGTAATTCTGTTCCAAATAAATTGGTAAAAATAAATATAACTTCATCTATTTGTTTTCCTTTGGAGAGTTCAAGCCGAAGACGTTCCGAAATTAGTTTTGCCAAATATACAGGATGCTACAGCATTTATATGGAATATTCCTAGGCAAACTTTAATATGAATAGCTTACTGAGTCATTAATGCACAGTTAAGAGTTAGTTGCTGATGACTGCATCAGAATACAGAAAATCTTATCAACCACATTTTAGCACTGGAATAAAATATACCTCTTCTTGTATAGCAGCAATAGATAAGATTATTAAAGGTAAATTGCTAATATGTATGGTAAACATGACATAATAGTAACAGCATTATTGTGAGCGCAAAGAAAAACTGTACAAATTCATACTGGTTGACAGCAAAAGTTTGTCCTTAGATCCTTGACACAACAACAACAACAAAAAGCTATTCGTCCAAGTGGAGCTCAGAAAAGAGGTCTCTTAGAACATATATAACCACCATCTCAATAGAGAACCGCTTTGTGTTCAGTGAGTTGCATAATTCTTGATAATGAAGAACCTTGCTCTTCAGACCTCCAGCTTCCAAACACAGACAGACATCCTCAAAATTTGTTCATGGAATAAATCATCTTCAGGTAGCTACGGGGGTGTAGTCTCTCGTCCAGTGCAAAATGGGGATCAGATGAGGGGGTGAAGAGTTTGGCGGGCAAAAAGCATAAGGCATTATCGGCAAGCGCAGGAGTCCACTGTCATGTTTGGATAGACTTTGAGGACCACGTTCTTGTCCTCATCGAAGAAGAGGATGCTGAGGGAGGACATCTTCTCAGGAACGCAGCACGGCTCTGGAATGCCAGGAACCACACCTACCGCCCGGACAATGCTCTGGATGGTGGCGTGGTTCGAAGGTTTCAGAGACTGTGGAGGACAAAAAGGTCACAGCAGTTAGACAAGATCACAGAGGCGCTTAAGGAGCTTGAGGAACATCCCTGCCCTCACCTGAACTGATCTTAAGACTTGCTGCTTAGTATCTACTGAAAATCTTTCAGTATCTACTATGAAACCAATACAGAATTTATGTAGTTAAAAGGGTGAGGAATGCAAGTGTAGGCCCACATGTCAATTAAACGGGTTTACTTTGCCTAAAAAAATACTAACATAACTGGTGGAGACGTTTACTTTACATAATGTTACTTCACTGGATTCATATAAAGATGATAGAATGTTCTGGTTGCTGTACCATATTCACACATTTAAGATGACCAATGTCTTAAATATTTGAAGGGTAAAAGTACCAGCCATTGAGGTGACCACTGATCCACATAGGCTTGGAGGCTTAGAGGTGGATGATTAGAGACCGACAGCCCATCAAAAAAAAGCATTTAAATAGGATCAGAAATCTCATTCTAACTGTCCTTACTGATCTAATGTGGAGGCACTAAAGCAGAAAGTGCTTCTTAAGCAATATCACACTCTGATGTTCTCTCTGAGATATAAAAGAAAGAAAGAGAATCACTCCCTTTAAGAAAGAAGCGGTGAAAGAGGAGTGTAGATGACCAAGACAAGTTTTAGAAAAATTGAAACACAATCCATAATCAAATTTACAACAAGGGAGCTAAACATTTTTTTTTTTTCATGATTCTGTGGTTCACCTTACTTTCCTGTAAAAGATGCCACCACACAAGCCACCAAGGTTGACATTTTCATTAAAATCTATTTGGGCATAAGGGTATGTAATTGCAGTACACATAAATTTTGGTGATACTGAACATTGATACTAAATGGTGGCTTACAAACTGATGCTTGTATAAAAGCAAATTGACTTACTCCTCATGTAACTGTAAATGACAGCATCCCACCACTGGGTGGAGCTGACTATCCATTTCAATATGTGCATGGTTCTTATCTCATTCCCTGGTTGGGTCTAAATGAGTCTTACAGAGCGGATTCAACTATTAGTGCATTATGACCAATAGAAAAATTATAAAAAAATAAAAAATAAATTAGCAGTTTTAGAGGATTATCAGAACATTTGCTTCCAAAGGTTGTCCACAACAAACTTGAGAACTATGTTCTCCCAAAACACATGAGGAACATAAAGAGAGCACCAATAGACCCTTGCCTCAATTACCTACCTTGGGCATTGGAAACTGACAGGATCCTGAGCAGTAATAGGCATCAAACGACTTGGGGGAGATAATCCATTCACTCCATCCAATGTCAGCAAAGTCCACCTTCAGATACCTGCGGGCGCAGTTCCTTGGCTCGTTCCACTGCTTCTTCCTCGCTTTCTTTATGGTCTGCTCGTCGAACTGCAGCAGCGGGTTTTTGTGACCCTGTTTCTTGCGAGGTTTCTTGCGGGGCCGCTTGGCTGGCTTGCTCTCGATGGGGTCATACGGACTGGTCTCGTCCCAGGTGTGGATCTTGTAGGGGTACTCAGGACCTGGCAGCTCGTTGTTCTGCAGTGGCAGAAGAATGTTGGCTGAGCGCTTCGTCCTGTGCAGCGAAGAGCTATTGCGGTTGCGTAGTCCGAGTTTGTGAAGACCAGGCACTAAGCTTCCTTTGTGTCTCTGAAGTGTGGTCACCACACTCTCAGGCTCAGAGATGGCCGAATCATTGGCGTAAACCAAGATGTATGGTTTACGGTCGAACAGGGAACTTCTTCCGAGGTTGCCGTCCCTGGGAATCGATTGCGATGCCGATCAGAAGCTCATGGTGATGTTTGGCTTGGTTGACCACCCGGGTGATGTCCTTCCACTGCCAGGATATAAAGTCCCGGTATGTAGACGATATATTAATAAGGAAGTGGCCAAGAGTCCTGGTACTGTTGTCCATGGAGGCGAAACTCCAGATGCTGAGGTGAATGTGAGCTTGCCGTCGGAGGCCGTGGTGGCAGCTCTTAGGCCTCGAGCAGCTGCGGCTGCTGTTCTGCAGGTCACCGATGTAGTAGTGCAGAGTTGCTGACAGAACATCCTCTGATTTGGCCAGGGACGTTAGGTTGAAGATCTGAAGATGTTTCTTGTTGATGGTGCCTGGATGAAGATAGGCAGGTTAAAGCTAAGGCTGAGCTCTTATCCAAGTCTTTTAAAAATGCACATCAGATATTTGTAAAGCCATCTTAAGTCAGTTTACTCACATTTGAAATATACCCAGTGGCATAACTACTGGGGGTAGGGTTGGGAGTGGCAGTGGCATTGGGGCCCATTGCACTGACCATAAAATCTTTACTGGCCCCCTCTTATAGATATTGACACAACTGTACACCAAAGATCCAATTACTTAGTTAGCTTCCAAACTCAGTTAGCTTCCATCAACACCACATATACAGACCTCACATCTATTTTTCTCCCTTTTTTAATGCATGTCCACACCCACGCTGATAAAAAGGTGCTTTACATTTTGTCCCCCAAAGTACAAACAAAGTAAATGCAAAGCTGCAAAATGGTCCAGCTGAGTACCTTAAATGTACCTTAAAAGATTTAGAGGTACCTTACATGACTTAAAGGTACTGAAGAAATACCTTTGAGGCTACCACCCCAGTGTTTCTACACTAAAAAGTCACTGTTTAATCCTTTTTTTTCTCAGAGTGCATGGTAACCAACCTGCAGCGTGATTCACTCACTGAGCGACATTATTAGGTACACCTATCTTGTATCTACACTCTGTCCATTTTATAAGCTCCACTTACCATACAGGTGCACAGTGTAGTTGTACAATTACAGACTGTAGTCCATCTATTTCTTTGCCTAATTTATTATCCCACCTTTACCCTGTTAGTGTGTGTTGTGCTGGTACAAGTGGATCAGACACAGCAGTGCTGCTGGACTGAGAATAATCCACCAACCAAAAATATCCAGCCAACAGCGTCCTGTGACCACTGATGAAGGACAAGAGGATGACCCACACAAAGTGTGCACGTAGGATTGCCTAATAGAGTGGACAGTGAGTGGCCACAGGGTTTGAAAACTCCAGCAGCACTGATCCACTTGTACCAGTGCAACACACAGTAACACACCACCACCACATGAGTGCCACTGCAGCACCACCCAAATAATACCTGCTCTGTGGTGGTCCTGGGGGGGTCTTGGCCATTGAAGAACAGGGTAAAAGGGAGCTAACAAAGTATGCACAGCAACAGATGGGCTACAGTCTGGTAGGTGGAGCTGATAAAATAGGCAATGAGAGTAAAAACAAGTTGTTGTAACTAATAAAGTGCTTGGTGTGTGTGTATTCATTATTTAGAACTCCAAAATCTTAAATAGGTGGTCTATTATAAACATTTAAGTTAACAATATATGCTGGAGTGGCCTTACGTCATCGACCCGTTTTAAACATGACAACAATGAGCAAACAAGCAAATTGCATTGTTATTTTTTATTCATTGAAAGTAATTTTTGCACAGAGGGCTTATTACTGTTTTTGCACTGGGCCCCACACGATCCTAGTTACAACACTGAATATGCGAACTGTTTCCGATTACACCTTTTAGATTTCCAAAGGTAACTTCTTTACTGTTTAAGTAGCACTAATAAACTAAGATAAAGACTGTTGTTCACAAAACTGCAAATACACCATTTTGAGCTTGTAAATGACTCTTTAACTGCTGTTAACTGCTCTCTGCACTCTGAACAACTAACTCTCTATCTTCAGTATTTTAGAAAACTGGCGGCTTGAAATCCTTTTATCTTTAGAGTAAACGCCGTATTTTCGATTAGCATTGACTGGCCATTCCAGCATGTGGGGTCATGTCCCATAGGCTAATCACTGCGGTGCAGTACCAGAAGTAAACAGTAGAGGGCAGCGCATGAGTGGGCGCAGTGGCGCGCTTTGCAAGTCAGAAATTACCTGAAACAGTGCAGCTCAGAAAACAGTATCACACTAGTATAGAAGCGGCTCTCTGTGTAAGACTTCAGGCACATTTTTGCTACAAAAACACATTGTAAACCTTGCGCTTTGTCCTGAAAAATGCGGAATCTGACGTCAGATAAAGGGAAAACTAAATAAAGAAGCGCACGAGTGTGATGTAGCCTAGTTAAGACGGCTAAACGAGTCGTATGTTCTTTCTCTATTCACTCATTCAGCTTTTATAGCATTCTAGCTCAGTGGAATGAGGCAGTGTGAGCTGTATGAGGAGAAACGTTTCCAACAGGTGGATTTCCAGCACACTCACAGAGCACTGAACGACGCGATTTACTCCATTCATCAGAGGGCCAATAATACAGATTACAAATCTCCGCTGCCGTCACTTAAAGGGGAACTCCACCGATTTTCAAAAGTTTACACATAATTCAGGCTTTAAGATGTAAACAAAGCCATGTAGACTGGTTTGATGTGAAATGCACTTTTCTAGAGAAAGTTACGGAGTATGAATTGGTCACAGTGGTGGTGACAGCAACCAGACGTCCACCTTTAAAAGTTCCCTCACAGAAACATGAAAATGGTTATGGATGCGCTGCCTGGTGCCCGAGACATGGTTTTATGGTAGTTTGTACTAAAGTTTTGGTTTAAAACGTTTCTTATTTTAATCCATTCATGGTGTTGAGGTAAAACAGTCACTAAAGAAAACTTTTTTTCCAGATTTACCACTATTTTACCATCGTCAGCATTACATCAGTGACTGAATTATGTAGAATTTTTGAAAAATCGGTGGAGTTACCCTTTAAATCAGCTTAGACACTTTACTTTTCAAAGCTTCTATCGATTCCTTCGTCGTGGTATGTTCACAGGTTAAAGGGCAGCTGGCGGACAGCAAGCGTTTCTTATGACAGCAGCGCAATGCATATATGAAGTAAATGAACAAGGCTGATTCCAGCGCAAGTGCGCTGTTCGCTACGTACCCGGTTGGGCTTTAAAGCTGCGGACTGTATTCCCGTCCTTGAGCGGAAAGCCTGCGCTGTTGTATTTGGCGTAGAGCATCTGCATGTGCTCGGACACCGTGTCCTGCGCCGTTTTCTTCGAGTGGCCCAAATCCGCGTCCTGGGCCAGTCCGGCGAAGTGATCTTTCAGCATGGCACACAATCCACAGCTCAGGCAGCTCCAGCCCAAGAGGAGGAGGACGAGCAGGCGCTGACACGGATCCATGCTTCGCTCCCTTCAGCCGCTCGCAGGGTCTGATCTAGGCTCTAGACTGAGGCTCCAAAGTGCGTCTCTCTCTCCGCTGAGCGCATCACATGAGCGCGAGTTGCAAAAGCGCAGCTGCGTCTCAGAGCGGACGAATCGCTGATGCTGGTTAACAGATAAGCAGCCGGGCTCCTGCTGGATGAGACTGGAGTGGATCTGCTCGTGTGAGCTGAGCAGTGCTGCTGGAAGTCGTGCTGGGGGGGAGGGAGGGGGGGGGATGGGTTGGGGGGAGAGAGCGCGCTGTTGGTTTTGTAGCTCCACGCCGGGGCTGAATGGACAGCCAATCGCAGCCCTGCGTGCGCGCTCACTGAGGGGAAAAGCACGCGCTGGTGGGAATATATAGGGGCGCTGCGGGAGCTGTTTGGGTAAAACTCTCTGATTCAACAACACAGGAGGATAGTAGGGGGATGAAATGAGAGACAGAGTGAAGGGGCGGCGGCAGGGAGAGATAGAGACAGACAGGGCGAGAAAGAGGGTGAGAGACATAAAGACAGCAAGAGAGATAAACTGAGAGACAGGAGTGAGAAAGTACGGAGCCCTGCTGGTGACATCCTTTATAAATGAAAATAATGCGTGGCCACGCCTTATTAACGCGGGGGAACGAGATCCTAATTTAGTAAGACATAGGAATGAGATAATTAAGTAGTGGGCAGGACTTAGTAAGGTGTGGGAACTAGATCATGCCTTACTAAGTCGTGGCCACACATTAGGATCTTGTAACCACGCCTTACTAAGTCGTGGCCACAAATTGTTTTTATTTATAAAGGATGTCACCAGCGGGGCTCTGAGAGAGAGGGGTAAAACAAGAACAAGTAAAAGAATGCAGAGGGAGACAGGGAGGAGGAGAGAGAAGCAGAGTAAGCAAAACAAGGGAGGGAGAAAGAAAGAGAGATATGACAGAGAAAGAGAGAACAAGAGAGAATAAGAGACAAGGAGAGAGAGACAGAGAAGTAGACAGTGAGATAGAGATATAAACTGAGAGACAGAAGGAGAGAGACGGATAAAACGAGAAAGAGTACAAAAATATGGAGGGAGACAGTGAGGAGAAGAGAGAAACAATGAAGCAGCAAGAGAAAAACAGGAGTGAGAGAGACAGAGTAATGAATAAGGGAGGAGAAAAGGTGAATGAGACAGAAAGAAGAGAGAAAACAAAGAGACAGAAAAGGGAGAGAGAGAATGAGAGAAAGATAAAGGCAGAATGAGAGAAAAAACAAGAGACAAGGAGAGAGAAAGAGATTGACAGAATAAAGGAAAAAGACAGAGATATAGCAAAAGAAACACAAGAATGAGAGCCAAGACTAGAGAGAGAGAGAGAGAGGAGAGAGAGAGAGAGAGAGTAAGTGTGAGAGAGAAAGAGGGATAGATGAAGACAAGAGTGAGAGCTAAAATAAGTGAGAGATAAAATAAGAGAGTGAGACAGAGCAAAAAAGAAGGATGGAGAGAAGTAGGGAGCGGAAAGAGAGAAACAGATACAGAGTGACAGACAGAATGAGAGAGAGAGAGAGACAGAGAGACAGTATGAGTAAGAGAGCGAGGTAGAAAATGAGAGAGGAGAGCAAGAAATAAAGTGGAAAAAAGACAGACAATATGTGAAAGACGAAATGAGAGAGAGGGGAGAGTGAGAAACAGACAGCAAGACAGCAGAGAAAGAGTGAGAAAAAGAATGAGAGACGGACTAAGAGAGTATGAGGGAGGAGAGGGCGAGAGACATAAAGCAGAAATAAAGTAAGATAAAGAACGGGTGTGAGAGAGAGAGACAGAGAGAGTGAGAATTGTCTGGCAAAACAACAAAATAAATAAACTGGTCAGTGCGGCCCTCAGACTACACATCCAAGCAGGTCAAGACGTTTGCATTTAAAGTGTTCTAGGATGTCTATATGTCTTCTCTTTCTAGAACATGTTCTCTTTGTGAGACCTAAAAAAACGCGTCCGGCTGGGATTTCTAAATTGCCTATATTGTTGGCATTTGTTTTCTACAGTCTGCCCCATACCACCCTCCTGCCCTCAGTGTCCTCTTTTTTGAAAACCAAAATATAATCACCTTAATGTCTTCACCTATCACCTTTACCCAGCCAATAGGGCTTCTGCGAGCGAGGGGCGTGGCTAGTTTAGACTGTTTTTAAGATCCGTGAAATGTCTCTCAGCAAAGCTGTGTGTCTGGGATGACGGGCTGAATGAAGGGGCTTTTGTGGGCATTAAGGGCTCTCTGCCCCGTTTTGTCGCATTCAATGGGGTTGAGCAGACACATCCTGTACAGCAGAGGCTGATCCGGATGGCCCTCCACACACCCAGGCCCGCGGACAGGGCTGAATAGCTCCTGTCACTGTCTTTCTTTCAGGCCCAGTGGGGCAGGAAGTGATCGACCCAACCAGATATCTGATGCCAATGGAGTTATGTTCAAGATATGATTTGGGCAGAGCTAGGAAGAGAAACTCAAACCGCAAAACTGCATCATGAATGCATACTGTATAAACAGAAGGGTGAGAGCAACATATATTGGGAAAGTTTTGAATATATGCTAGATCAGTTTAGACATCTCTGCTGTGCCAAATGCCTAAGGGTCTCAAATACTTGAATTCGCACCTATAACTGATTCTGGTCTTGTTTGAAAGAGGGCCTCATTACTGTATGCTTGTTTTCACACAGGACAACATTCCATATATCACCACTGTTCAGCCCTTTGCTTTATTTCACAATAAAGCGATGGTAACAGACAGTACCTACCCTTGGTGGGCTACCAATACTTAAACAATGATTAACACAGGCCCGGTGTCAGGGGTTCATTTAGTGCTCCACTAGCCAATCATCATACCCCACTAAACCCACTACTTTTTGCATATACATCTCCCTCTAAATTGGCTGCATCGTACATCGTGAGCTGTATGTTGTCGGAAGATGGCAGATTTCCTAAAAGGGTAGAGCTTTGGTAATTTACTGCAAAATGGCTCTCCTGAATCATATGCTCCTCTCATGATTTAATCCTGGGCAGAGGCATGGATGAAGAATGGTTACTGGACGTGTGGCATGTCCTTGTGCTGAGCTGGACGATGGCTGCTTTCGAGCTGTGTGATGTGCTCCTCTTGATGTGTGAACACACTGGTTGCAGAGATGTCAGCGTGCTTGTAAAAGCGAGCGCGATAAGCCATCTGTTGTCCGCGCCGCACTCAACCTCACCATTGGGCCTTCTCGGCTCTGGCCTCCAGCCCTGACACATTGACCTTACCGTCGAGCCTCCTAGCACTGGCCCCATCTCACTATTGAGCCTCCTCGCAGCAGCCTTGGTCTCCAGACTCACCACACTGGCCTCATTGCCAAGCCTTGCCAGACCATCTTCCCCTTGGAGCTTCTCAGCGTTGGTCCCATCGTCATGGTTTTCTGTCAGGCTCTGCCTCTCTCTCCACTCAACTGTAAAGTTTTTGAAGCACTGTTTATCCCCAGACTGTTTTGGGGGGATGGGGGGGACTGTCCCACTTCTGACACCAGTGTGACATCGGCAGAGAATAAGACACAGGGAAGGCTTTGCTATTACTGCAAGAAGTGCTCTTTATTATACACACTAGCAGAAAGGCACACAAGGTCACCTTTAGCCACACACTTCTCTCTGACAGTGACCCCACCCTACACAAATACACCCTACACCCACATAATAACCCCACTTTCTGATGCAGAATGAAGCATTAACACGTACACATACCCATAACTAAAAGCAACCAACAACACAAGTCCCTTCGTCGGAGGGCGGGTGCAAATCATAAGCCTTTGCATGTGGCTGGCTGCACAGCCACACCTCTAGAGTCTTCCGGAGCCAGCGCAGCCAGTAATGGGTCACTACAATATGACTCCTGATATTTTAGTTGGTTCAGCAAATGTCTGTTCCCGCTACTGTTCTTTTTAAGATAGAAAATTAATTCCTATTTGTACCTGTGAATAAAGAATTTTATTAATAGAACAGAATTCTTGTTACTCTAAAACACTCAAAAACTCAAAAGTATATTGCTAAATCATTCTTTAGCTATTTAGATCAGAAACAAGTAGCCTATAAAAGCAGTTTTCATTATATCTGCAGGAAATTATAATTGCATAAAAGTCAGCTGTATAGAAAATGTGGGTACAAATGAATTAACTGTGTTAACGGGGGGAAAATGTATACCAGCCTTTGTACATGGCAAATGTCCAAAAAAAAGTAAAAATGTATTTTACACAGGCAATTAGGTTGACTCCTATGTACCAGATGAATAGTAGTCCAAACAGAAGAGCTCTGATGAAATAAATGGCACTATTCAGCTACACACATTACCGCCTCAGGAAGGAACTGAAGCAAAACAAAGGTGAGTAAACTCCTTTGGTCAAAAACTCAAAAGAACTGGTCAGTGTCTTTTTTTAATGCTCAGAAATCTTTTTCCTGAAGCTATTGGCTAATTGGTAGCCTATGTAAGTTCGCTATCATGCTAACTCTGAAATACTAGCTAGCACTGATTTATTGATCAGTTTGTCTTTTTGTATGTCATTTTACTGATAGCCTGTGCTTATATTTGGCGCATGTGCTCTCTGTTAAATTCTACTGCTCCACAACTTTATAGCTTTAGCTCATTTGTCGGAAGCTGTAAAAAATGAATAAATTTTAGATGTGTCCAGGATGATGAACAGAGCTGTGAATGATTTCACAATGATTTCACAAAGCTGTATAATATTGAGAATGAAGCTTTGATACACACTTAAAAAAGTTGGTTCTTCGAGGGATCTTTAGTAAAGGCAGTGGTTCTATTTAGAACCATGTGTTCTATATAGAAATATTTCATGCTTAAATGGTTCTTTGCATGGTGAAGTGGTTCTTCAGATTGATGGGAAATGTGTTGTTTATCCATATAGAACATTTTTTGGAAAAAATATTTTTAAAATAGTCCTACATAGCACCAAAGAGCGTTCTTCTGTATTTACGAGCTTGACATTCTAACAATAGAAAAACCCTTTTTGGTGCTCTATAGAACCATTTTCAATGAAGCATGAAATGGTTCTAAATAGAACATCTAATCAATTTGGCACAAATCGCAGAAACGTTAAACTTTGAAAAGTCATAAAATGAATAAGAACAATTTACCCTTGTTATTATATATGCCAAAAATCACCTTAGTTGATTAAAAGCAGCCCTCCTTCGAACTGCACACTTGCACATCCACAATAGTTCACCGTAAAGGCATACACTTGTCAGCCTCCCCCCTTTTGTTGTTTTGCCTCGTAGGTGTTTGAATGATGGCACTTTTGAAGGAGTGGGCAGCGTCAACACTATAAACCACGCACTGCATTCATGTGGCTGAATGGCAGAGTTGAAACGCTTTAATTGTGGGTGCAAAGTTTCTTTGCCACCCAGCATTGAAAGTCTTCCTTGTCATTAACTGGAATTGGTATGTGATCCTAATTACAGCTGTGATAATGACCGATTGAGTGCAAAGTTACGATGTGTGTAAAGAAAGGGAGTGAGCTTGACCCAGAAGTAAACTGAACTGTTCAAGCTGTAAACATAGTACAGTTTACGTTGTCATTCAGCACAGTGCTGCTCTTTATTACTTGCTTCACAATCCCTGTACTTGTTGGCGGTCCTCAACCAATGTTGCTTTACTTTAACAACCTGTTTGACGAATGTGTTTGGCAAATGTCAGCACCATTAGCTGCAGTCAACTTACAACTGCATTTCGACCACACTGCAGTGGATTTCTGTTACAGATTTTTATTTTAAAATGACAATTTCTCATAGCTGCAAATATAGATTTCTGAGTAACTGCTAGCTCTTGAAGCTTTTGCAGGCCTCATTGGGAAGGCAATAGAAGACATCATGAATTTATGACGAAAAAGGTTTTATTCAAGTTTTATTTAAAAAAAAAGGGTAAAGGCAACAAAAGCATGTTTTGCATACAAATAGCAATACCACCTTTCTTTTCAAATACCGATATTGAAAACTTAAGTATACCTATCCTGAACCAGTTTCTTCTTTAAAAGCTATGCAGCTATAAAATGAAGTAAAGCACTTCACTAAAGATGAGCTTCTAAAAGTACATAAATATGGAAATGAGCAGAAAGTTTAAGAATTTTGAAAAAATGAAATAAATGAAACAAAGTTTTGACAAGAAAAATGTTCAATATTCTGCAGTATTTCTAGGCCACTATTTAAATAGTTCACCATGTTAAAACAACCTTGTTAAGGTTGAGAGAAAGTGCAGTGTGTGCCGCAGGGAATGGCTCAGACCCAGTTCTTCCTGGTGATGTGGTCATAGATGACAACATGATGGTAGAGGTCAGATTGGATGGACGTTCTGGAGGAGTTTGCACCAGGTGATGATGCCTGTAGGAATAAGGAAGAGTAGTGCTTATGCTAAATTAAAAGTATACAATTTCAAATTAGACTTTTCAATTACCAATGCAAATTAAGTCATTTTTAGCTTTAAGAAGTGTGTAGTAAATCTTTGGACCCACCGGTGAGTCCTGGCCATTTAATTATTTAAGTATAATTAAGTATTTTATCAGTTTTGTTTTCATTGTGAAATGTCTACTCTTTGCTTTTATTACAGCTTTCATTGTTTTGGGACACTTGCAGTTTTTTAAAGAAATCTGCATGGATGTTTTTCTACACCTTGAAGGTTCATTCTTGGTTGCTTTTTGTGGGGTGGTTTGTCCATTGTTCTGAGAACAAATGTTTGCAAATTTTCTTCTTTTTTGTCCATGTCCTTTTCTCAGTAAGGGCTTCTTGAGAGCTACACATCTTTTCAGACCCATAGTGTTGAGTTGTCTTCTCACAGTGGAAGGATGGACAGAAACACCTGTGGTTTTTTCAGATCTGAAGCAAGAGTGGAGCTTGATGTTCTCTCTTTCAAAAATGCAAGCTTTAACTACTGTTTATCTGATGGTGACAGTTTTGATGGTCTACCAGGTTCTGCACAGTTGTTAGCAGTCCAATTTTCTCTATATCTTTTAATCATTTTTTCACTCCAGTTCTAGAAACTCCTTTTATTTACTTATTTTGCTGTGCCTTTATCCTTCCTTATTCTTATATCTAATCTCCTCAAAAAGATCTCCTGAAAATTAAGAACTTGTACTCAATGGCTGTTTTGAATGGAAGTGAAATTAAATGGTCTCTGGCTTTTGCACAGTGCTGTACTATTGTATTGTACTGTATTAATGCTATCTTAGATATGAGTATTGAATAATTTTCTTGTTCGGTTGATTTAGTACAGTTTTTAGAATCCACAGAATCCATTAAAACATTGGCTTTTTGTATAATGTGAAGATACAAATTATACAGCTTGAATTAAAATCTCTCACCAAGACTTCTGATTTTGGGAAGCTTAAACGATTTCAGGGTTAAAACTTGAGTCTGGGTGTGACTCATAGATTCCCTCCACCAAAAAAACATAGAAAAAAAAGATCTGTAGCCAGCTGTATTGTCTTATTAAATGCAAAGCGTGTCAAAAGATTTCAGGTTGATAGAACTCATCCACCCTTAAAGTTCAAGCTGGACTTTTACACCACACTTGTTTGTAGGCTTCTACGCTAGTGAATTTTTTAAGATCGTCTTTTGCTGAGTTCAACAAGGACATGAATACGCTGATTGCGGCCTACCACTGATAGACAGAAAACAAACAAACAAGCCGTCATCCAGGCTGACTGCTGATTTATGACTTTCGAGTTCAACCTCCAATCGCCAGACTTGAGGATGAATGCATACTTCACTCAGACTTGGTTTTAAACAAAGAAAAAATGGACTTTAGATTCTGAGATATTTCCAATATGCTGGCAATCCTTATGGAACAAATCCCAAAAAAGTAGAGGCACACAATATATTTGTGGCTGGTATATTATTTGATGATAAATGATTGGAATAATGGCAGATAATTACAATCTATAATTTTGCTTATGTGCAGTTTGTGCATGCAGTTATTCATTCAAATGGAGCATAGTGAACTCACTAAATGCTATGGCTATATCAATAAATTCTTGGATATACTATACAATCCTAACAGATTGTAAATAAACTTGGTATCTCACAATTCTGCGATTTGTTGTTTTTTTTTTTGCGACTGAAATATCACATATACACCTTGTAAGTTGTTGCTAAACTGAACCAAACTTGTACACAAGTTTGCACAAACTCTCCCATTACTAATACATGCCGAAAAACAAAATGGAGCTATTTAGCTATATCAGCTTGCTGTTGCTGTTGTTTTCACCACTGTTTGCTCTTTCATGGTAAAGAAAAATACATTTGGATGAGGTCATGGATGTCAAATGTGAGAAGTGTGGTAGTTTATAGAGTTTATGTCATACAAGCACTTGATTTTACCACACACAAGTGCCATTTCTAGCTGTATTTACTCTGTCACGCTCTCGTTTTCATTGGCTGTTGGAGGAAACAATTTAAATTGAGTCATTGACCAGTATACACTACTAGATTACAATCAGAGTTGGGTCAAAAAATTTGATATACCCCAATTTGTCTTAACTTCGATTATAAGGCAACAAATCAGATCTGTGCCTCAAACACTGCTAGATCTTCTTTCCCAACAATCGACTCCAGCTGCCTCAATATCTGCAGACTACAGCCAACCAGCACAGACTTGCCCTATTGAGAAACAAGGCTAAAATTAGGGCTAAAACATAACCTCGGTTTAAGAGTCTTTGAGCAAAGCTGGTACTGTTACATTCACCTGCAATCGAAAGTGGGTGTACTAAATAATGTAGAATTAAAAAAAAATGTAAACTAGTGATACCACTTTTCTCTTTCTGTGCTTCTTTAAAAGCTTTAAAATGAGCTATTTTTGATTGAAGCATTTCACTTAAGATGAGCATCTAAAAGTAGGCTATCAACTACTGAAACACTCTATTACCCCACAGTGAGTAGTACACAGCTACCAGCATCATATCACACTCTGTGAGTGATTTCAGGCTAGATTTGTTACAGTATTGGAATGGATTACTTCTTTTTCCCCTCCAATATCCAATCCAAGATTTTCTACTGATATCCACCTAATAGCAATATCCATCAGTACCGTTATGCCGTCTCTACTGTCAGTGTTTACAGTCACTGTCATGTCTGATTTAGCTGTCATGGTTATGTTAAATTAACCAGTTTTTCAGTTTTAAGTTGAATCAAGTCTTACACTGTCAGTTACTGAAATCAGTGTCAGCCTCAACAAGTTGTTAATGATCTGTTATCTGTATCGACTCCATTGACTCCTCTAGAAATTCCATATCAGTGGATCTCTAAATAAAAGAGGAAAAAGCAAACAAACAGTCACACCCTGCTCCACAGATCTGCTATTTTGTCTGAGCAAATGTATCCATATGGGCAGTGAGGTCATGGCTGGTAGGGGCCTGGGCTGGGTTTTCTGGGTGCACGGGTGGTTTCAGCGTCTGGGTTCTCGAGCCTCCCCCTCGTTTTTTAATAGCCGGCCTGGTCGGGGCGTGCTCGACCACAGGCAGAATTCGCCTCTGCCATCTTGCCCTCAACGAGGCAGCCTGGGTGAGCTTGCGTTCAAAGCGGCCCGTCTGCAGCGCTGCTGTTTTTACTAAAATAGTCCGTCCTCATGGCCCCCGGGCACGGAGATGCAGAAACCAAAGTGGCACGGGTTTCCGGGCCAGAATTTGCCACGCATTCTCACCTGCTTCATCAGACCAGTGCGGAGATGAGAGAGGAAGCACCTGTCTGAGGACACTTGCCCAACTCTGGATTGGTCTGGATTCCAACCATCATGACTTTCAGAATGGCTTGATGTGACAGCTTCATTCTGGAGTGGAATTCAACTGGGTTCAACTCACGGATGTAAACTGACAGCACAGCAATTCAGTGCCAGTCCATTATCCATCAAATCTAGGTGCTCATATATTTGCTATAAATAAATAAACCTCCATTAAAAAAAAAAAAGAATCTGCACTCAACAGTGGAAGCCTGTTGCTAGTTTGCACGGAATCCATGAAATGCTTTCATCTGAAAGTCAAGGCTCAAGTAAAATGACAGGGTCAGATTGTCTACCTCAACATGTGTTGTTTTTTCATGCTTCTTGTAAACACCTCCAAAGTTCAGTGTTAGAAGTTAGCTGCATTTTCTGTTTGTCATGGTCCAAGTAATTCCAATCACAAGTTTAGCCACCAGTCCATAAACTCTCAGATGTCCTCTTTTGATGTTCTAGTACATATTTTTTCTTTATTATTTCTATTTCTTATTAACGACAACTTGACAGCTACACATACTTTCAGACGCAGCACTTATTTGTCTACTCACAGTGTAATAATACTTTAGAAACTTCTGTTTTTTTGCTTATTTTCCATTGACTTTCCCCTTCCTTATGCAAGTGAATTATCCTATAGCTATGTCATATTTCTCCTCAGAAATACCTCCTCTAGCCATTTAAGATAGCTAAACATTAAAGCACTATGCAGTGATGTCATGTAGCTGTGTTTAACCATATTTATTTGTTTTATTTAACAAATTCTAAAATAAATGTACACAGAAGGTGGTGAGTGCCCATTGTCCCTATCAAACATTCTTACCTCTGGGTCGACATTCAGGATTTTTCGGTCTTTCTTATTCTTGAAGAGTAAACTGGATGAATGTTCTGCGATCACCTGGTAGTTTTCAGTGTCGTTCATTGTAGATGCTTGTGTTTTCCAGTTGTAGAAACTAACAAAAAAAATAAAAAATAATAATGAAAAGCCTGAAAATAACCATCTGTTTGTTACACTCAACTAAACACTGTTGAATACACTTGGAATAATCATCTGTTTTGATCATAAGTGAAACATTTAGGCGTTTCTATGAATGTGTCTCGATCTGTGATCAGATTTCGTGAATAGAGGAAGAATTTTGCACACTTTTACTACATTAGTAGTAAGTGTTTGTTGTCGAGTCTACAAACGTTTGCATGGATTGTGAACGCAACTTATAAACAAACACATAAACTATGCAGATGATTAGACAGTCCATTATCGCTGTCTGGAATGCAATGGGATGCGTTCACACTGCACATTTTCTGTGGTCATATGCAAGGCGCGGAATATACAGAGTCCTGGGGGATCCTTTCGGCCCACTGAATGTTTCAAATCAAAATTCTGGGGGGTCCCTGTCTATTAGGGTAAAATAGATGCTCAAACACAAATTCAGGGAAAGGGAATTGTTTAGTCTGCTTCACCCACAATCAGCGAGCCTCTGTCTTTGGTATTCTTAACTAACTAGAGATGCAGCATTGGTCTGCCTCATGGTGGCGCTGTAGCAGACTGGTTCACCCAGTTGGTCCTTCACAGCCTAGCAACTGTAACTATGCCCGGGATACCTCTGAAAAATTTTACAATATGCTGTAGCATATTTGTAAATCTGAAAACTTGTCCAATATCCCAAAAGTTTGGTGGAAAGAGTAAATTGTTACTCATTCCTCAAACTGAAGACAAAAAGATGTCTAAGATCTCAATTAATGTGTGGAAGGCTGCATTCCCAAACTAGAAAAGAGCACTTCCAGAAGAAGAGTTGTTAAACCAAACATTTTGTAGAAATTGAAGCAAGCACTAGTGCAGCTATCACAAGTGAGTTAGCAACCAGCCAACATGGACCCCCCCTAAAACCATGGATTATTTCGTACACTGTACACATGCATCCTTGACCACCTCCGGAGCAATTTATACAATGTCGAGTTTTAATTAGACATATTTTCAGCCATAAGAAATTGACTTGAGATATACAATTTCTCCTGTTAATAGCTGAAATTTAATGAAAACATTTGTAATGAAATGTACAAATTAGCTAATTTTACATTTAATAAAAAAGGCTAAGACATATGCATTTTATGAGCCATTCATAATACAAAGAAATGATGCATCTGTTCCCAATTTGATGTGGAGAACTTTCGGTTGTGTTGAAGGCCAGGTGTTAAGGTAACGTTCAAAACTAATAAGTAATTGAATCCATTCAAGGCTCTTGGTTTCCAAAATAAATGGTAGGTTAGTAAATGGCATCCGTTTGGCTCCACCTTTCCTGTTCTACTTACTGCTATTGACACAAGTCGAAAAACAACAGAGAGCATTTGCACACGCACACCAGGGTCATGGGTGAAGGAAAAATAACAAGGGACTTATTATGGAGAGAAAAGTTGTAATGTTTTTTACAATACAAAGAATCCAGCGTTGGACTTCCTTTAATAATTTCTCATGCTATGAAGTGGAACGCAACTGTGCGTCAATAAGATTGAATAAACATACTGATGCATGAGACTAAAAAACAAGTAGATCAGATTCAGCATTTATTTACCATGAAACATCACAGTCTTATGTGGTTTAAAGGAGCATTCCACCAATTTCTGTTTTTTTAAATGGTTAAGATGTAAACAAAGTCATTCAGAGTGGTGTGATGTGAAAAGCTCCATTTTAAAAACATATTAAGAATTTTCAGTGGGGGTGCTAGAAACCAGACATTTGAAGTTTTTAATAACTCTAAGGGTACGTTTGCATTATGACAGGACAGGTGATGGCTGGATATTCCATTGTTTTTCAGTAGAGCAGTGAAATTTCTGGCACTGTCAGTGGCTGACCACCCTGGTCAGCAAAATGCTCAAATTTCCCAACTTTTGCCCTTAACCGCAGCAGTGAGAAAAAAAAAAACGTTTTTTGGAGAGACACGGATGCAGAAGGTCTCGTTGTTGTAGTCCAGGTGCAGCCAGTATTATATAACAAAAAAGTACAGTACAGAGCATCATCCTGACTTTTTCCACCTTCAGTGATGAATCGACACTGCTAAATCTGCTCTGATAATCCTCCATTTCCGCCAGTGATACTGTCACCAGGGTGTTTTCGTGGTTGCCGCCTGTCACGTACCACTATGAGGCTTCTTCTGTGCAACATGTAAACGCAGCACAAAGCCTACTTTACAGAAAGTTATAACATGAAATGGTTATGAATGTTTTATACTCTTAATACACTCTTAAAAAGATGGTTTTTCTAGAGTTCTTTAGTAAAGAAAATGGTTCTATATAGCACCAGAGGGCTTCTGCTTTTGTTAAGATACACGCTTGTGACAATAGCACAACTGTTTTTGGTGCTTTATAGAACCCTTTTCAAAAAAGTTCTATATAGAACCATCTACAACACATTGTCCATCAATCTGAAGAACACCTTCACGATGCAAAGAACCCTTTAATCGTGCAAAGGGTTCTTTGAGTGCTCATGGCCCTGTACAGAACCATTTTCTTTACTTAAGAACCCTTGAAGAACCACCTTTTTTAAGAGTGTAGATTTGCTAAAGAGATATGTAAAATCAACTTTTAAATATACTCAGGGTAGAGAGGTACATGTTGCAAGGATGCTGCAAGGCAAAACAGAACTCAAACAAATCTCTGGGTTTCAAGTCAAAAATACAATTTTGGATAAAAAAACAGTTTTTGACACAGCTGAGGTGTAATGGAAAACAGCCCACTCCCAACAACATATTAAAAAAAAATCTTGAAAGTGTTTTACAATGCATTTTCCAATGAAACCCGTCATTTATTTATTTATTTATTTTTTTAGATTCACCCCTTTTTTTTTACTATTATCAACATTTACATATTGTTGCTGCCAGAACTGTACCTTGTATCTCCATTTGTGTTTTTACTCTTTAGCATAATCTGAAAATACCACTCTACATTGTTAACATTTCATGGTGAATGGACTAATAGCAAACTTACTCTGAATAACATCTCGTTCCATTATAACTTACACTGGAGGTTAAGAATGTTTTTTCTTTCTCCTGTAAAGTTACTTCATGTTGAAGATTTGTTCCGACAATAATGTAATTAAAAACTCAAGACATGTAGATTCACTGGTCATTTGGAAAAGTAAATTAATTTCAGAAAGTAAATTGAATGGTCATATTTGCGTTGTAGAAGATTTTTGTAAGATTCTCTACTATGAACCATTTCACATTAAACCTCTCTGAATGACTCATAACAGTTGAATTATGCATACATTTTAAAAAATCTGTTCCCCTTTAAGCAGAAATGTAACAGCAAATAAAGTGAACGGGGGGAAAGTGAGCATGCATGTTAAGATTTTCAAGTAAAAATGGTCTTTCATAAGGAAAAAGGTACAAAAATATGATCATTTTAATCGTATTTGTTGGGTTCTATTCAATATAAAAACATTACCACTTACATTTAAGTCCAGGAGGAAGTTTTTTAATTCTTTTTTTTAACACTGTAAAGTGCCAGCACTACTATGAGCAAATATTTGGTGTGTAGATTGGACCGAATTTTGACATACACGCTACATTTCCGAACTGGCTAAGGAGACTTTGTGCTATTTGCGGAGCTATATTTGTGAACAAACTTCCTGTTTCAGAGGTTTATTTTCAAATATGAGATTCTGCCATGGCTTGAAATGAAGTGTTTCAAGTGAGCACCAGCCGGTGAAACACATACGGCAAGCATACAGACCCCTGAAAGTTCTGCTGTCCGTAGCAATCACGATAAAGTTGAACTGCGGCAGCCCATTTGAGGTGGCAGTGAGAACAGATCTGACTGTTATTGATGCACAAAACGAGTGATAATAGAATGCACATTGGGGCTATTGGAGTCGCCTGGTCCAAAACTGACAGGCTGGCCCCTGTTAGTGGTTCTCATCACTAGCCGAAGTGCTGGAAGACAGCTGCTTTGCAGAAACACAACTCCAAATGTCACACTTTGAGGCGCTGAGGGTTGCACAAGTGGACCTCAGCTATTCCCAAGCAGTAGTTTGTGGTCCAAGAACAAAGTTGGACCTCAGGGAGGAGGCCCTTTATAAATCTATGGGAGAGGCACATTGAGGAGAGAGAGAGAGAGAGAAAAAGAAAGAGAGAGCAAGAGCAACAGCATATTAACCAAATCTTTCTAGATCATGATATCACTTTGGCGCCCAGCCAGTCCACAATACATTTTGTAGTTCTGTAATGTTGCTTAACTGTCCAACATGTTATAAACAACAGATGTAAAATGTTAATGACCTTGACCCTCCAACGAATAAATCACCGTTCGTGAGCGTTCGCAAACTCAGATGCTGGCTTCGTTTGGCAGATGCGCCGGTCTTTGGTGGATTTGTTTCAGTAGCGGTCTCTGGTGAAGCATAAAGATGCAGGCATTTGCATAATGGTCATAAAAATATTCTCTAGACGCTAAAGCATTTAACTCGCCCACAAATCATGTGTAAACATTTTGCCAAGATTGTAGAAGGGAAAGACAGAACTGTAGTGTGGCTAAAACATCTTAATTTTATGTAAGTAGGGGTGCCAGAAGGGTTCTTTGGAGCAAAGCGACAGAAGAACCACCTTTAGTTCCAATGCAAAGAACACGCTAACGTTTTTCAACCTCGTTGACTTGGAGCAAATTGCCTGTTGGCTTTTATTATAAGTGTTGAGTTCAGACACTGCCTTCAACATATGGTAGTATTATGAGAAGAAACTGTGTGACTGTAGGCCAAAAGGCTGGGCCTCTCTGTGATGAGCAGAAGTAGGACTGAGAGATAGGACTTTGTCACAGGACATGGAAAGTAGCGATTGAAACTTATAGGAAGTTAGACTGGAGGGAGAAGAAGCTTCACCTATTTCTAGGGCTGTCAGCAATAAAAATAAGTCACGTTAGTTGCAATTATCCACATTTATCTTATTTGCTCAAATTTTTTATTTTA